GTGTGTGGGTGGGTGTGTGTGTGTGTGGGGGGGGGCGAAAACAGAGAAGGTTCAACAGCGAAATTCTTACGAGCCACGATTGGCCAATCTTTTCTATTAATTCAATTTGATTGAGTGATCTTCACCGGGAAGTGACTTCACCGGGAAGTACACTAGTCACACCACAAAAGGTGTAACCATTTCAAATCAGCAAACATAAATGCAACCATTTATATAATTTGTGTATTTTCAGCCATCAAGGATTTGTAAACGAAATATTCAATAAGTATATAATTCTGTTTTTATACCGCTTATTTGAAAAACGATTATGACAATGGAAGAGTAGATCATCCCAGAAAAAGAAGAAGTCATTACATCCGCAATTTAAGTGGAATTAGCTTTTACTATAACCAACGGAATAATTGCATTTATCCATAATTTATCATACCGGAGAGTTACATTTTCATTGTAAAACCAACCCTGCAGTTTGGATGTTGAAAATAAATCAAAGGACATGAAATGTTCATGCTTACCCGCCAAAACCTTTACCACCAATTGGAGCTTGGAAGTGATTCCAATCATCCCAATCATTTAAAGATCATCGTGAACGATAGAAACGACAACAGGAAACGACGACGGTCTCCATGGTAACATGGAACAGTCACTGTTATGTCCGATATTCACTTACAGGGGGATTGCCCGAGGCAACGGTCTTACAGCAGTTCGTGAGAATTGTGAATATCAACAGTCACCGAGGTGGAAACCTTCGATCTGTTTTCACCACGTTAGTGGCCTGTTGACTAATCAAAAATCGACCGTAATTATAGGTGGCACCACATCATGTGCGCTCACGCGCAGATCGTTTCCAAGCACCATCGCAACAATCTACCGACCAATGGGGTTCAAATAAGAGAATAAATGTGTGTTTGGGAGGTACTATTGTAACACTCTGTTTAAGACCGGTTTGAGTGGATGGGCGATAATTACCCGAGGCGAAGCCGAGGGTAATTATCGCCCATCCAGACTCAAACCGGTATTAAACAGAGTGTTTATACCGACCGAACACACATTTATTCCCATTCATAAATACCTTTTCGGTAAAAAAAATCAAAACAAGTCAAAAACTAGACATTGCTAACTTTTTTTGCTCAACAATTTTACTTCATGTTGTATCATACACCCCTCTGAATATAATATGGAATCTCCCTCTACAATTCCTTACCTAATAAGGAGATTGACGCGCGCGTCGCACGTACTGCGCGACATCACGCAGAATGCACCTGGGGCGTTGCGTTGAGAATTTAGGACTATAAAATACTGAAATATTATGAACGTTCAATCAATAAAATGGTAAGAGGCACTGGATTTTTAGAAGTCCAAATTTCATGTGACACTGGAAAAGTGTTTAAGACCAGCTAGCCATGTGTCTTTATCATCTGTTTAAGACCGGCCACGTGACGGGCTCTCGACCAATAGGAATGGGTAAACTGCCTTAGGTATTTATGAATAATTATTAAAGCATGCGTATCTAAAATTTAGCAACTTCTTCGAAACTGCGAGGAATTAGCGATGTACCACATCATTAATGTTGCCTTGATTGTGGTCATCAAATTATGCTATTGGCTTTTCTTTTCTCATCATCGCTCAAAGGCGCTGGTTATCTCATCTCCTTCTCAACATTTTGTTGCGGACACACACAATTCATTATGGGTAGTTTATATACCTATCCGTTGCAGGTACATCCTGTGACTATACGCGCCGGGCGCGCGCACGTGCGTGGGAAGTTTTGAACCCATTAGGTTCACCATGCAGATATTTATAATTTATCAAATGAGAGCACAAATAAGTACTATTAGAGTTTACCAGCGCTCCTGGGTAAGGTAGTCTGAGTATCACCCGTTGTTCAACGGAGCCCTCTCCGTAAGGCCCAAAAAAGAGCTCCGGTTTCTGGTATGCGCGCTCGTCGCCGTAGCCATGCGCGTCGGCAAAATTAAAAAGTTGTTTTTCCAATGTAAGATGATGTCTCAAAACCGTAATGTAAGATGATGTCTCAAAAAATAAATTTTAACGTGTTTTTAGATGGGGTTACGATCGAGTTTAAGCTTTATGTGGCCTCTCTGGGCTCCCATACGTTTTGCAATAAATTTAGTCGGGCATCATTGGCAGTCATCAGCCGACATTTGAAGAAAAAACAAGTTAAAAAAAAGCCATGTCGCCGCACCACGTTTGGGGCAAGCTCCATACCAGAAACCTACGACTTTATCTTTTTGGCCTAACCAACGTCTATAGTTTATATGAGCAATGCAAATTTTATGCGACCCCGCGCGCCAGCTAATCGGAGTCGACTTCAGAAATTGTGACGTCATTTCGATTAGAATCTGGACTAAGCTGTTGATTGGTCAATTTGGCTGACATGTTTTGGTAATACAACATGGTTACGGAATATCCGATATAAGGCGCCCGCTGAATGGTCAGAATCTCAAGGTCAAGACGCAGTCTTGTTTTACATAATTAATTAATCGCCGAATCTGCTTGCATATTATGGACTCTTGCTGTGCAAGGAGATATTCCATACTAGATCTAGGATAGGGCGGCGGATATCAGCGATTTTATGGCTTGAGAATGGATGGAGGCCGTGGACAAAAGTCACTTGCTCATGCGATTTCCTCATCATTTCTCTCGACCAATTGCTGCACCACAGTGCACGGAGGGAACATCTGCATGCATTTACTCACGAACCATTTCAGTTTTCGGCTGCATGGTCATACAGTTCCTTGAATGAAGATCGTATGGTTTTTCAGTGGAATAGAAGATCTTCACAGTAATTTTTTATTAAAAGCCATCAAATCCACATTTATATGGAAGAAGCTTTTGCCATATCCCCAAGCACAGAGTTTTCACCCAATGACTCGACTCAACAACTCAGTCGAGTCACTTCCTTGAAACGACGATCGACTCGATTGAGTTACAGAATTCAGTGACTCGTTACAACTCTGCCAATGGCATTGCTATCGAACATCATTGTTTTGATACATGCAGCCTCATAACCTTAAACATTCATTGTCCCAATCTACACAATGCACAATAATAATGTCCAGTCAGACTAGACATTGCATTGTCGAGATATTCATTCATTTGCAGACTGCAATAATTCAGTAACACATAAAAACGCCAGCAAAAATATAGCTAGTTATTTACACAGGCGAGGCACATTTTATACTGGTGTGCTTCGGGCATTCAACTCGGAATCTCTGGAATTTATTTTGGAACCCGTTTTGTTACGACCAGTTCCAGAGAAGATTTGACCTCACGACGGTTATACGAGATGTGATATGAGAGTTGATGTAAGTAAACTTTGCTTGGGCTTTTGGGGGTCACCTTAAAGTTGCAGTCTGAGGTGGGGGAGGATCAAATTCTATAGATCCTTCGCATTCATAGTCTGGCCGTGTCTTGTCCTGTTGTGAATCTCTTGTGCATTCTTTATTACTGAATTGCAATAACAACACTCCTTTAAAAATGACTGATAAATGCAGTGTCTGGTGTTTGTGACTCATTATCATTAAGAGTAGAAGTTCGAATTCAGCTGTTGGCCTTTATTTTGTGTCCTTGGGCAGGCCGCTATACCCCAATATGCCTCTCAACCTTGGAGCAAGAATACTCAGTTGCGGCCCTAAGGGGGGGGGGGGTGTTTCTAACCCTTCCCCTTGAGCCGAATTGTTTTTGTTTTTTTGAAAATCATGCAGACAAAAATTCCTGCTAATTACCTCCTCCCCTCCCCACCCCTCTGACAGCTGAACCCCCTCTTGAGCCAAACTTGGATCCACCCCTAAAACTGGTATGCTAGGCCGGGAGTAACCGCCAATCGGAATGGCATCCATTCGGTGGGATGGAAATTATTCCTACTCGTTTCCATCCATGGAAAGGTGCATTGTACATACTAGCCGCAGTGATATTGATTCTTGTAAATTCAATTGCTGTCGGAGTTTTAGAATAAGAGCATTTTCATATTTTGTGTGTGTTAAAAAGTGATCATAGCTAGATCTGGCCTGCATTTATTAGCAAAGGAGCTCACGACTTCTTTTTCTGAGGCCATCCCTTTCTCATTTCTTTATTTCCAACCGACGCGACCCTATTTAGGGCTCCAGACCCAAGAAAAAAATATTACCGCCGACCCTGACCGGAACCCATTAGCCAAAAACAAATAGTGAATGAAAAACAAAAATAACGAATACAAAATTCAGGCCATCAGGCTCTTTGTTATTTTGAAAAGCTATTGAAAATTAAAACCAGATTTTACTGGTACTGGTATGTCATGTCTGCACAGCCAATGCACGTTAGTGAGCTGGGCTGTGCTGATAGAACGTACGTCAATTACATCTTGCCAATATTTTATTCAGTGATGTCAAGTCATGATAAATTAATTGCTATAAACAAAACTAGAATCAATACGCACTATGCATCATTTAATTTAGCCATCTATACGGGCGCAACTGCATTTTCTTCCTTAACATTTTTATTTACCGACGGACCCAACTTCAGAGGCACAAAAATAATTATGAGGATCATATAAATCAAAAGGGACGCCCTAATACTTTGCGTTTGATTTTTTTTTAAGCTTCACAGTGAACAAATATATACGAAGACTTTCCTAGACATAGAATTTTTATTTAATAATAAAAATAATATTTTTTTTCATATTAACAATCTGTTCAAACATTTCTGTATGGGCTGGGCTACATCACCAAACTTCAACGCAGGTGGCTCAGTCGAATGATACTGATCGACACGTGAATAATGCTTGTTTGAAATGTCAAGCACATTAATTCATATCCGAAATTTGTTTTTATTACGATACAATAATGGCATTTCCTTTAATGACTGACGTGTTTTTTTCTAGCTGTGCACGCGCACAGCACGCGGGCCCCACAGTCACCAGGCTGATACCGTTCAATGACACATGTACCAGGGCCACTTTGGAGTCTTTCCCCCGCTCGTTATAGGATCCATGGTAACAACAACGATCGAGAGGGAGACGGCATTTCCGTTTCTTCCTCTTGGCATCTTGGGGGACTTGTTATCGCGAGACTACATCATCCATCATCATCCTTTGGGATCGTGTGGACTCCGGTTGGGGATTTCAGCTCGTGTAACATCATCATTACCACAGACTAATGCTACTTCATTACCAAGCTGGAAATCAGTCTCATGGGCACGTGCCGCCCAATTAACTTCATGTGTGGGTGTGCGGAGAAAATACTCTCGGTTTCAAGAAATGCTGCATGTCTACTTTGTACTACTTGCATGAAAGCAAACACAACATTCTTTAGTAGTCAGATTAATAGGCATCGCACAGTCAGCACGAAGTCTGAGCAGCATGACACGAGTTCAATTGGGAAAGTTCTGCATTAGTCTATGTGAGCACAACAGTTTGAAAGTGGTTTTCCTTCCTCTATGTCGAGACTATACTCTCCTATCGTAGGCAGATGTACATGTACATGTACATGTGCACGTGCTGCTCAACTCTGTACCGAATACTGCGTGACCTTTGACACGGAGCTCATCGCAACACAGCTTGGACATGCACAAAATACCATCCGAGCTTATGTCTTGCAAAAGCTGCATTAATTGCTCGGTAGTTTTTACGAATGACAGCGGATGATTTTAGCAGCTGGAGGTCGTGGAGTTGAACTGACAACACAACTTAGGGCCCATTTGATAGCCCCTTACTTCTAATACAAAAGAGAGGAGATACCAGTACAAAAAAATTGATGCCTCAGACATGTCAGAAGTTTGTTAATCGGTTATGAAGGAGCAAACACTGGACACTTCAATGATTTAACTGTCACATGGTCAACATTTTCTCAACCACATGATGCAGTTGACAATATTGTGCTGGATACAGCGTTAAATACGAACAACAAAATACCGTTCGCGTGTTGGACATAATTATTAGAGTTGCAACAGACGGCAGTGTATCCATGGTACACTGTTTGTACCCTCAGAGTGAACACGTACTATGTAACGCCTTATTGACCGCGATGACAGATATTAATTTTTCACATCACCGTGTATGAAGGCTGCGTCGAGTGGTGACTTTGTTCGATGGAGGGTCGGCTATTTATATGATTGGATTTAATTAGGGAGATAGCGGCGCGGCCTCACCTGATTGTGGCAGCGCTCTTGTACTAGTTAATGAACGGAGAACCGAAAACCTGGCATTTTCGAGACAGCGGAAAACGGGAATCGACACTTTGCATTACGTACGTGTGACTGTGATTGAGGGAGACTAAACCGATTATCGAGTTTCGAGCTGAAAGGAATCGACTAATTATGATGTGCAACGCACTGATTATTCCGTTATCATTGCTTTATGGAATATCGGATACGACTTCGAAGATAAGTGTTATTTTGTGCGCCATGAGAGTTCGCCTAACCCGAACTTTGTGTAGTCATCGAACTGAAACCCACACTGTTTTCTTTAAAAAAAATACCGAGCAATTAGCATTGTAGTCAAAACAAAATTTATGTGTGCCATTTATCAGCTATACACGTATTGGTAACACTTGGCACTGATAACGGTGTAGTTGCAGGCGTCAACGAGCAATGTTCGCACTTGACAATGTAAATTACCTTATCCGAATGTGAACTCTGGGCGTGCTACGTTGATAAACTGTGACCCACAGAAGTGTCTAATGATATTTAACCGGCGCACAAGTGGCAATACAGCTACTGGAGAAAAAAATATATGTGAAGTTCTTATCAGAAAGTTCAAAAATGAACTTGTGGAGAACCGGGTCCGCGGAACTGGATATAAATTGATCCTCTGTTCTTTATTGCGTGATTTATGTGAACAATGAACGCCCTACACAGAGCGATTCTTGCAGGCCGGCCCACCGAGGTTCTTTACCTCCTGGAGCGGAGGAAACACGACCCGAACGCCCGAGACCAGAACCTCAGGACCCCGCTGATAACCTGCTCCCTGACGGACAAGGAGGACGAAGCCGTAACCTGTGCTGCCATACTGCTGAGTAAGGGAGCCAAGATTAGTCATTCGGACAGGCGAGGCAAAGACGCCTTCTGCTGGGCATGCCAGAACAGCAGAGCCAAGCTAGTCAAGATGTTTCTGGAGGACTACCCTAACCAATTTCAGTTCGATCTGCGGAAGAGGGATCGAGATGGCAACACGGCTCTGCATCTCGCTTCCCGGACCGATAATCCCGACATTGTAGGTCTCTTGCTCAGAGCCTACGCGGCCAATAACTTGTTCGCTGAGATGACTGAGCGCAACAGCCGGGGCGAGACGCCTCTCCAGGTGGCAGCTAAACGAGGCAACTCCTCCGCCGTCCTCACCTTGTTACCGGTTTCCTCCGATGCTTTATTCACCAGGCGAGGTGGCGTCGACTTCCGCAGCGCTCCAAAATGGGCGAACGCTGCCGTGAAAGTGAGCAGGAGCACGGGGGACTGGCGTGTGAAACACGGCAGGCCTTACTCGGAACAACTTTCTGTTGGCAGCAGCGCCAACATCAACGCCCCGGGCCCGACCACAGGAAAGAGACGACCCAAGACTGTTAGTGTTACTGCCGACTCGTCAAACCTGATAGGACACTCTGGCTCTGTGATTAGATCGAAACCTGGCTGGAATTTGTCAGTCCTTCCAAGACGAACCAATATCTCAGATATCTTCAGGATCTCAGAGGTGCAACTTTCCGCCAGTTCGGCTTACCGCCGACCTGCTAAGGCACCGCCGCCACCAACGCCCTTTGTTGGCGAGGATGACAAAAATAATCGCCAACGATCTTCCACACTCAAGCTACCTTGCAAAGGTCGCCGGGGTTCCGTTCTGACCAATCGAAGTCGTTCTTCATCATCGAGACGCGCGTCTGTCTCTGACGCGGACTTAGCTGATAAAACGCCGAATAAAGGAGGCAGGGCAGTGCCGACTCTGGTAATAGACAAGCCGTTGGAACAGGTCAAGTCAGTGCCGGCTGTGATACTAGACACAGATGGAAATGAGGCCAGAGGTTCCAGACGATTGCTCACACTGGAAGGCAAAGAAGATGTCAACCTAGGAAGACAAGCAAAGCGATCTTCATCTTTCAATCACAGCATGTCTGACATCCCAGAATCGCCAGTCCAAGGTGGGACCTACTTAGCGCCGTTTAATGGACCAGGGATGACACATGATTTCATAGGCAGTGCCAATTCCCTTCACAGCTTGGCCAGTGACCTTCCCGGTCTGTTTGCGCACGCTTTGGCCTTCGACAGATCAGAGACAGACCCAACCATCAAACACGACGGGAGCCATGCTTCCCTGATCCGTCGTACCAAGAGCGAGCCCTCGCTCAATACCCTGGACCAAGCCATTGAGTCTTTACTGGTCTCTGGGAAGAGCAACGGACCGCGACCCGACCAGAAACGTTCATCACGCTCCAAAGGGCCTATAAGCAATCGCAGGAGAGGTCATGCCAAGATGCGTACAGCCGACAAAGACAAACACGAATCGACTGTTAGCGGGAAAAGGCAAACCAAACTCACGCCACTCAAAGTCGAGACTCCAAACCACGGGGTGCCACACGTGCACCAACTGGGTCATCTTCCAACTCCGTCGGTATCACAATCACCAGCGCAGTCCTCCCGGTCCGGTCGACGGTTCTTCCGGTCAAGCAGGGAGGCTGAGTCCGCTATGCGGCGGCGACGCACGGACTTGGAGAAGAGGATAAAATCCGTCCAGGAAGACATCGAGAGGCTTGACAGCAGGAGGAGGGGACGAAAGTACAGGTCACTCATTCCTGATTGGGTTACCTTGGACGAAGAAACCACTCTAGAGGAACTTGTGTCAGCCATCTTGAATGACAAGACCAACAGAGAAACGACGGGGAAATCGGTCAGGAAGCAACACAGGCCTCAAGATGCGATGAGTGGTGAGACAAACAGTGCCACGACTAACTACCCCAGGGATATGAGAGCATATAATTCGGCTTCGACGGAGTCCTCACGCGACTTCGACCCAGAGCAGGAGCCGACCCACAGCTGTTCATCCAGCCTCGATCTGGATGCAGAAATCCAAGACGTGGGGCGCCCTCAACGGCCACGGCTTCTCAAGAACAGCCTGCGTGGAGAACCTCTGCGCGTCCCCCGTCCGGCACAGGCGCCTGTCTACAAACAATCCCGGACTATCTTTTCAAGTCATCCTCCGATTCACGTACTACCAAGACAGCAACATGCGGCGTACCATCTCACTGCAGAAAACAGCCCTGATCCAAGCATTCAGGCCCGCGTAGGAAAGCTGGCAAACCAGGTGTCTGGTCACCGCTACAGAGCGATAAAGCCAGGACAGGCCTCAACTAAAAAGAATCATAAAATATTGCCTTAACAACTTAGCCATTTCCATAAACTTGCAAGAATTGTAGTCAAGTTCATCACAAGTCAACTCGGTCATTAGCAACAGGAAAGAACGGGCAAAAGAATTTTATTTTTTTTACAGTTCATTAGCTTGTGAAGTAACTATAGAGACTGAATGACTTTGTTATAGAACTTGACTACAACTCGGGAACTCGAGAGAAATCTCTTGATCCCTTTATTCTTGAAATAATAATGCAGATTACAAATAAGCAAAGCATTGATATTGGTAAAAGGCCTTTAAGAAACGTATTTACCTAAATGTTATTGCTAAAAAACCTGTTTTCCAAGTTTCATTTTCACTGGTTCTAGTTTGACAAAGGCCATTCGAATGTTCGGCCTTTGATCACCTTATTTATAAACTTGGAAATATGAACGTGTTAAACACTTTAAGTGTTTAACACTTAATAATGTAATACACCCGTTTCACTGATGTTCCAGAGTCGTAACGAATGAAATTATTCGGAAGGCCTGAAATAAGTAAATGTAAATTAGACATTTAAACTCGTTATAGGAGCGACAGCGTCGACAGGTTGACAGTTGGGTCGTTTGGTTCGGCCCACCTCTGCAACGTCATTAAGGAACGGGTGTTGATTTTCGTAATTATTGTCATATTTTAATGGAAATATCAAAGCAGTTTATGTTGAAAATAGTATCATTTGGGATATTTACAAAATGGACAGTTTGAAGTTCTGTCGACACCAGTCAAAATTAAGGGGCGATCCAAACTTTTTGGGGGAAAAAAACCCGTATATAATATAAACTAAATCTACACCTAGCTAAGATGTTTGAGATATGTGAATTTTGTATTAAGTGGAGTGCCCGTCCCTTTCCTTTTGCACATAAATAATGCACAGTCGGCCCGGACCAAGACTTTATGTTTGCTATTACCAGAATTTGTATCAACAGTGATTGTATTAACGAGAGTCGACTGTATTTACCTTTGCCAAACGAAGTTCTGTAGCACCGCCCACAAAAATACCATTCTCACGCCGTTACTCGCCGCGTAGTAAGACTTGAATGTTGTGTTTCAACTAAACTGGTAGCAATTTTCCGCTTAATATTTAGATTTTCTCCTATTTATTATGGGGTCACTAAATTATTTAACAAGTTAAATACTTTATACGGCAGAAAATTACTGCAGTTGTACAAGTCTTCATAATATAAGTCAAGCACAAGTTTTCCATTCCCAAGTCAAGTCAGAAGTTCCTCAAATGAGATTCGACAAAAAAACAAAAGTAATTGTTCTAAGATTGTCCATCCCCTGTTACGTGTGGTTAACTTGTGATGGACCGCGAAAATATCCTGTCGTTTATATCCGTTGGGTATTATTACTTTACACATGAAACCGAACTTCAAGAAGTTTTTGTCGGTTCTTTTTTTACATTTGGAAACAGTCTTCTTTGTGAAACAGAACCTACACATATTTGATTGAATAAGTTATGGCCATTTCAAACCTTATTATCCATTAATAATGGACATCTATTCATGTTATTCCATTCAAAGTTTTATTCTACGTTGCATCATGGGACAGTTTGCGCTAATTGTGGAGATTTTTGATTATGGTAACTGTCCCACAATGCAGTGCAAAATATACATTTGCTTCACATTTCCGGTCTCACAGTTATTCGTAAAAGGGTCCATGTTGTCAAAAACGAGATATTACCGCATTTTCTAAGTGATTCATTTTATGTAAAACTCCTCCGTTATTAATTCGTTTGGTTTTTTTTTGCCAACTGTTTTCGCATCTGTCGAAATCAAACACCGCACACTTCTTAACTTAAGGGCCTGTGTAATGTACTTTTGTAAATGCAAACCTTGTAAATGCACCTTTGCCCCATTTTAACCTTACTCTCAATTTCATTTTGTCATTTCTAAGGCCATTTTTGTGCCTTTTGGGGTTTTTTGTAATGTAAATGCAATTTGCATATTCATTGCATAAATATGATGTCATTTCAGGCCGAAACCTCAATGTTACAGCTATTTCAGCACTAAAATTTGCCAGAATTTTGGACATTTCGCTGTGGTAAATTTTCTTTTCTTTGGTGATTAGCTATTGTTTGAATACATGACAGTAGGCCAATGAGCAAAGTTTTCTCACAAATATTGTCTATGAGCAAATTTTGCGTTGTCACAATTTGAACAGAAAACCCCTAAACTGAAGCGTCTCCTGAAATGACATCATAGCAACAGCGCCCTCATTTGTATTAAGGAAAAGCATGGACAATGTTGTAATGTTTGAAGAAGTGCACTTTTCAATAATATTAACCAAAAAGAATTTCAAATAGTTTTCATACATTTAAGAGGAGTAGAAGGTTGCTCAAAATATGTTCCCAAGTAAAATTCATGTTATGTGCACTTTAAAAATGCATTTTTAACCCCAAAACATCAGTTGCTGGGGTGTACACAATAAATCTATATTACACACTTAAAACAAGGTTTGGGGGTCTTTGGAGGTTTATGGCTAATAAGTTATTATTTATTAATTAAAACTCCACAAATTCTTTTCAGGGTGTGGAGGCACGCCAGAACCACAAATAAATACATATTTTGGCAATCCTTGTCTGGCTCCATAAAACCATGGTAAAATTATTGTATGGACATTACAACATAATAGGCACCAGACTATTTGGTCTACGATGGCATACCAGTATTAAACTCACAGAGTCTTTCAAAGTTTTACACAAGAAAAATAACGTTCAATGTGAAAAAATACAAGCTCTAGGCATGATGGTGCACGATAACGTTTATTGCCAGTTACATATGTAACACGGTCCTACATTTACATAACTGATGTGACTAAATGTACTATATTTGTGTATGGTTTCATAATAAAACAGTATTTTCAGTGCAAGTTTTAAATGTATATATGGTGTTAAAGGGAATGTACAACATTTGCTTTTGTTGCAGTTTTCAGAAATAAATGGATTCGGAGGGCTAGTATGTTGTAGAAAATACTGTTAAACTGACTTGTTTCACGTTTTGGGCTTGCAGGTGCTGGAAAAACCAAGAAATGCAATCATGTTTTTGAAAGCTGGTTTCCTGACCCCACTTGAGATAAAACGCTGGGAGCAATTTATAGACTTTGGGGAATTGTAGGCTCAGAGAATCAGTCTAGCAGGCTTGTACCCCTTCACAGGTGTGTAATCAATTACAACGGAAATGCGGAATACCTAAATATGAAAAAATAGGAGCAGTCTTTGAAAAAAAAGCCAGTTTTCTCCAACGCTGGTCGGTCGTATACAATTGTTGGAAAAATACAATTTTTGTTTTAAGTGACAAGCACACCAGGAGCCACGATTTTACAGGATGCTTTAGACTGTCATTCCCTATCAATCCAGCAAGGTATTTCGTGATAATTTGATCATTTCATTTGTTCGTGTTTGCAAATGTTGTATCTTCCCTTTATATGTAAATGTATAGTTCAAAATAATGTACAAATTAAAATATTCATTCAAAATTAATAATGATAATAATAATAATATTGGACATTTATAAAGCACAAACATATCCACCCTTGAGGTGCTCAAGGCGCTAAAATTAAAATTAATACCATTTATGTGCATAACTGTGGCGACATGTCTGAGATATGTATATTTTTCATGTCAAAATCATATCTTGCTATTAATACTGGAATGTTATGAAGCTCACATCACAGTGACAAACACAGCTATGTTTCAACGCAGTTAAATGTATCTCCCCAAAAAAATTAGTACTAGAATATATCAAATGTCACAATTTAAATTGTCCCTGAATGTGAAGGTGTGTTTGTACATGGAATTAAAAAAAAAAACTTTGGCAATTTCTGTTTTGAAGAGCAAAAGTTTAAATCAGAAGCAGGAAAATGAAGGAAACAACCAGAAATTGTCACAGCAAGTGCATGTAAGTTGCCTTAGAAACAATTTGAATTTCAATGTAATTTTTTTAGCGCGCAATCCTTGAAAATGCAACTTTGTGTCCCATTTAACCTTATTTTCAATTTTTGTTTTGCCCTTTACAAGTGTAGTTTGGTGGTTTTTTTTTTGTTTTTATGCTAATGCCGATTTTCATATTCATGAGCAAAAGTGTGACGTCATTTCAGGCAGAAACCTCTATGCCACAGCTTTTACAGCACAAAAAGTTGCCAGTATTTTGGATATTTTCATTTCGTAGATTTTTGTATGGCGATTCGTTGTTGTGTCAGCACATGGCAGTAACCCAATGAGCAAAGTTTTCTCACAGATGTTTTCAATGAGCAAATGTTTGGGTTCTCAATTTGAATAGAAAACTTCTAAACTGAACAGTGTCTTCCTGAAATGACATCACAGCAACAGCACCCTCAGTTGCCCGGAAAAGCATTGACAATTTTATATTTTTAAGGAAGTGCACTTTTCAATAAAAACAAACAAAAAGGGATGTCAAATAGTTTTTACACATTTCAGAGAAGTAGAAAGCTGCACAAAATAAGATGGAAACATTTCTTCGTTCAAAAGTTGTCGCATACAAAACATCTGCAACCACTGTGCTGTAAAAAAAAATCATCAAAATTTTGAATTTTTTACACTTCAAAACCAGAATTTTTCTTTGATTTTGTTGGTACCTCGCTATGAATTTGCAAGCGTGTGTCAAATTGTTGATCTATCGAAACCAAGGCGTGAATCACGATGTGGGCATGCGCATTGAAATTGTGAAAAGGTTTATTCAAATGAACTGCAACAGAAGTATTCCTTTGTTATTGTTCAACTCCTGTTACTGAACTTATGAAGGATTTTTGAATTCTCCATACTTGGGACTAGACTTTTGATGGACTCAACCACAAGAAGGAAAAATGTCCTCTCAAAACCCACACATCATCATTGTGTCTTGAACAAGAATAACTGATTTCGACATAAAGTCACAACTGTAAATGTACAATACACTAATTGTTAACAGCGCCCTCGTGTGGTCCCAAACCGTCATGCTCAAGATGGCCATCCACTCGAGTCTTCAGGTTATGTTTTGAGGGCACAACTTCACAGTTTAGAGCAATTAGGATTAATATTTTCCTGATTTCAGATATTTAGGCATAAAACGTGTAGTTACCTATTACAATGTCCACAGTTGACATTTAAAAGTGAGAATGTGCGTATTATTAAGCCCACTACTTTCTAGAATTGAAGGTAGACTCTACCGTAATCGTTAAAACAAATTGAAATCGCTGATAACTTACGATACTTTCGTATGGATTGAAAGGTGCACTGTGCATACCATTATTGCGTTTCACCCCCAAATAATACAATTTTCTTTTCAATTGCTATTTTTCTAGCCATACAAAATGATAAGTTATTCACTTTGGAACGAGACTTCAAACAACGATCAGCCAATGTTAATTACTGGACAACTTTGAATTATTTCCAGATTGACCCAAAAATAATCAAAAAAACAAAAACAATTTTCACAGAGTAGACTGGTTCCTGCCCCTTATCAGAATCGATAGTGACGGGACTGGAAAACAGTCTATTCCCGTGGATCTGTTAGTGTGCAAAAAGCAACCATAAATATAATCCCAGATAGAAAAATAACAGCGTTGCTGTTGAAACCCCTCAGCCAGAGTCAAGTTATCATCCGGAAACCATTAACCTTTAACTCACGTGGTGACCTTGACCTTTGGCCTTTGACCCCAGAACCAGTCCCAACATGCCTGTACCAATGGGAAACCCCCTACCGAAGTTAGACACCAACATTTCATTTCTAACTCAAGTTATCATTCGGAACCATTTACATTGAACTCACCACGGTGACCTTGACCTTTGACCTTTTGACCCCAAAACCAATCCCAACTTGCCTGTACCCAAGGGCAAACCCCTACCTCAGTCAGACACCAAAATCTCATTTCTAACTCAAGTGATCATCCGGAAACCATTTACCTTTAACTCACCATGCTGACCTTGACCTTTGACCTTTTGACCCCCAAACCAATCCCAACTTGCCTTCTCCCAAGGGGAACCCTCTTCCAAAGTTAGACACCAAAATTGCATTTCTAACTCAAGTTATCATCCGGAAACCATTTACCTTTAACTCACAATGGTGACCTTGACCTTTGACCTTTTGACCCAAAACCCAATCCCAACTTGCCTACTCCCAAGGGCAACCCTCTACCAAAGTTAGACACCAAAATCTCATTTCTAACTCAAGTTATCATCCGGAAACCATTTACATTTAACTCACCACGGTGACCTTGACCTTTGCCCTTTTGACCCCAAACCCAATCCCAACTTGCCTACTCCCAAGGGCAACCCCCTACCAAAGTTAGACACCAAAATCTCACTTCTAACTCAAGTTATCATCCGGAAACCATTTACATTTAACTCACCACGGTGACCTTGACCTTTGACCTTTTGACCTCAAAACCAATCCCAACTTGCCTACTCCCAAGGGCAACCCCCTACCAAAGTTAGACACCAAAATCTCATTTCTAACTCAAGTTATCATCCGGAAACCATTTACATTTAACTCACCACGGTGACCTTGACCTTTGACCTTTTGACCTCAAAACCAATCCCAACTTGCCTACTCCCAAGGGCAACCCCCTACCAAAGTTAGACACCAAAATCTCATTTCTAACTCAAGTTATCATCCGGAAACCATTTACATTTAACTCACCACGGTGACCTTGACCTTTGACTTTTTGACCCCAAAACCAATCCCAACTTGCCTACTCCCAAGGGCAACCCCCTACCAAAGTTAGACACCAAAATCTCATTTCTAACTCAAGTTATCATCCGGAAACCATTTACATTTAACTCACCACGGTGACCTTGACCTTTGACCTTTTGACCCCAAAACCAATCCCAACTTGCCTACTCCCAAGGGCAACCCCCTACCAAAGTTAGACACCAAAATCTCATTTCTAACTCAAGTTATCATCCGGAAACCATTTACATTTAACTCACCACGGTGACCTTGACCTTTGACCTTTTGACCTCAAAACCAATCCCAACTTGCCTACTCCCAAGGGCAACCCCCTACCGAAGTTACAACCCCAAACAACATTTCTAACTCAAGTTATCATCCGGAAACTAAGCTGCCCGGACGGACGGACGGACGGACGGACGGACAGACATACATACATCCGGACGGACGGACGCCCTAGGCGATGACAATACCCCTCGAGCCTCTCGGCTGAGGGGTAAAAATTCAAGAGTTAAAATTTGTCAGAAGAGAAAAAAAACCAACTGAATTTGTTGAAGAGCGTAGGAAAATACATCTTTAATTGAAAGAAAATCTGCCTGCAGTATCAGCAGTAGAAGTTACTGGAAGCCAGTGCCCTAAAACCGGTATTTGTGTCTATGGCTACCTGGAGATATGCACTGCAGCACAGTGGCCACAGCCACAAATGAAAGCTTTGGACATGGCTATACATGAAATCTCATGCAAGCACATGAACATTTCAGACGTCGTAAACGTTGGGATTATTCTAGTCCAAAATGGTTAAAGTATTAACCCTATTACACAGGGGCGGCCCCCCTCAACCTTATCTGTGATACCCTTGTGAAAAAAATTTGATACCAAAAACATAAAATTCCGACCATGGGTTACCGCGCAGCGAAAATAATTTCGGCGCAAACTGAATTTTTCCCAATATGTAGTGAGCACAAACAGGCATGCAACTGGGAAATCACAAAAAGAGGAAATTCAAATTTTTCCCAGACTTTGTACAGTGTTTTTCTATTTTCAATGGCACACATGGGAAGTAAAAAAAGAGGAAATCAGCTGATCCGAGAAAAAATTGCATGCCTGGCACAAAGCAGAATTACCATTGGTGCATATGAAGAATTAATAAGCCATAATTCCAAAACCCTTTAACCTATAGTCCTGAAATTTCTTTGGTATGTTCATATTCAGTTGTTCTATGCATGCACCATATTTTTTCATCACTCAATGGACGAAATCTGAGGGGGGGAGGGGGGCCAAGGGTACGCACTGTTTTGTGCTGGGGACTGCTCTGAAAGGTTGCCCCGCCTCTAATTGATGACTGCTGCACTGGTCTTTGCCTCTTCTGTTCTTTTCTTGGGGGAACAGCAGACTTCTAGAGATCAAAAGAAGGAGTGGAAAAGCAAATTAAATATCAATCAAAGCACTTTTTTCCTCCAACAGATAGAGAATAATTCGTGTCAGTTGAGCTCTTGCTCAAGAAACTGCCAGCAAATAGATTAATATCTAAGGTTACCGACAAGGGAGTTTTATGAAAAGAATCTGTCCTGTTCTGATGTGATACCAGGACACACCAACATTATTAGTGCGGGTCGGAAAACGTCCTTCCCAATGAAAGCAGCATCCTGTTTCATGAAACGCTGTGACGCACTGTAACTCGGGAAGAGATCAGGGGTTGACTATTTAAAAAATAAAACTTACATGCGCAATTGAGATTTTTCCTTGAAAATGGGCTGAAAAACAGACAATTGTGCATGCACAGGCACAATTTTACATGCACAGAGCCAAAGTTACATGTAAAACCCCTCTAAAGCGACCCCTGGATGAGATGCGGAACATGTCGGATCTTATTCTTGACAACAGTTCAAAACACGCTAAAAGCTGTGACGTGTCTTTGGGTCATTGTTACATAAGGCCAAAAAAAAAAAAGTCTCTGGTTTCTGGTATGGAGCTTGCCCAAAAAGTGGTGCGGCGACGGGGCTTTTTTTTTTTTACCTGATTTTTTTTGCAAATATATGGGAGTCCAGAGAGGCCACATAAAGCTTATTCTCGATCATAACCCAATCTAAAAACACATTAAAATTGTGCAGCAGCAGGATTCCAGTCAAACCAGTGAGTTTGGCGGTTTTGAGACATCATCTTTCATTGAAAAAAAAACTTTTTCATTTTGCCGACGCGCATGGCTACGGCGACGCGCGCGCATACCAGAAACCAGAGAGACTTTTTTTGGGGGGCCTAAGAAGCAGTGGTGTGAATTTACGGGTAGTCTGGGTACCAGATACCCTATTGAAGTGACGGATAAGCCAAAAATTCAAATCCCGGAAGTTGTCTGAAGGACTTTACAGCTATGTGGTTTAAACTGCAACTTTCACGAGTGTTGTCTGTCGTGCCTTAAAATGAATATAAACATGAAATCTGTATTGGTTTCCATGTAGCCTGGTGTTCATTTTGAGAATTCTCCACAAATAGCATTCAAAATCTCTCTTTTACATTGTCTTTTTAGAAGTTGCTTAGTAATTTGTAAAATTCAGTACGGGTACCCGATCCCATTATCTTGAACCGGTTACTGACATCGGCGGTTGGATACTCAGTTCTCATGCACACCCCTAATAAGAAGTGTCTTTTTCGGAGAGAAACTCCAAAAGAAGAGCAGCTGAAATCAAGGCTAAACATCATGGGGGGAGGGGCTAAATGAATCTGTCTGTTTCATAGTAAGCAGAGTCAGGGAACAGTGGCTGGAACTGTTATTTTTTTAACTCACCAAAGTCTCGATTGGGGAAGACACAGGGGCGGAGTCAACCATGGGTGAGGGGAGGTCCGACAGCGGCTTGCGGGAATACTTCCTTCTGTGCATCTCATCGACAAAGGTCAAGTACCAGGTACCAGGGAAGAGGTCATCGACAGAACCAACTGGAGCATACTTAGCTGGAGGCGACAAAAATTTAAAGGGAATATACATCATTTGCTTTTGCTGTAATTTTCAGAAATGGATGGAATTGGGGGTTGGAAATATATAGCAAATATAGTTACACTGACTTTTTTGAGGTTTTGGGTTCGAAAATGCTATAAAAACCAAGAAAAACAATCATTTTCCTGTAGTCTGGTTCCCTGACTCCATATAAGAAGAAACAGAGCAGTTTACATACATTGGGGAATTGTAAGGTCAGGGAACCAGTCTAGCTGGCTTGTACCCGTTCATAGGTGTGTAATCGATTGCAAACAAGTGCGATGGTCAACTGGGGCCAGTATTTGAAAAAAAACGCTAGTTTTTTCCAACGCTGGTCGGCCGATCAGCGTTGGAAATTGATACAAAAATACCACTTTTCTTGAAAATGACAGTATACCAGGTGCCATGATTTTACAGGATGCTTTACACTGTCATTCACTAACAGTCCAGCAAGGTATTTCAAAATGATTTGGTAGAAAACAGAAAACAACAAAACTGTCCTTAAAACTAAAATGCTTGCATCAGTGAAATTTGTCGCATTTTATCGGGTATCAAAAAAAAAATCAAGTTTCCGATGCTAAATTATGAATATACAAAAATTAAAATTTAAAATAAATTGATCCTCACAAAATTGTATGACTTAAGTAATTTTAACAAATTTACATGACTTTTTCAGGCCTGGAAATTGAAAATACAGCTGCATGACTTTTCCAGGTCGCAGGAACGATTTCTTAAGTAGTTGCATGACAACTAACCTGTTAAACTTTCAGCTCAGTGCGTACAATAAATTTTGAGAAAACCGAGAAAATGTATGCACAATTTTGTTGGTCTCCTATTCCGTTGCTATTGCACATAACAAGTGTGCCTACGGGCACACAATTTTGAAACCACCTTCAATGTTAGTTTTCTTCTAAACGATAGCATTTCAGGGGCAGCTATTTCACAGGGTATTTGAAACCAGTCATATCTTCAATTTGAGCAAAGTTTCTGTGGTTAAATCTGTAGATCCTATGAACTTTAAGGCAAATATTGAAATAGCCAACAGAAAACTCAAGTCTGTGTCTGCCATTACTCAATTCTGCCAGTAACTAAATCAGATTCAAACCAGCCATCCGACCCTAACAAGCTTAGCAGTTGAGTGGTTAGATGTCTGCACTAGTAAGTGGGAGGACAAGGGTTCAACACCCACCTGAGTGAGTTTGTGAGTTTCTTCTTGCAAGCTCTTAGACAGCAAATCCCAAGTATTGAATTTACAAAATTTGAATATTGAATTTACAATATTGAATCTCCACGATGCCAACTTCCATCTTACAAAAAAATAGCAATTGATGTACATAGAGTCAGGTTGGCGCAGCTGTACTTTCCTCGCCTTCCACCTCTGTGACTCGCCCCAATATGTGGATTGGGTTTTTTTAGTGCCTGCCCGATTCCCTGGGTTTTCCCAAGAATATTCTTGTGGGGTTTTCCTCCCTCCTCTAAAACCGTAATTTCTTCTGATTGTCTCCTCTCTACAGGTTTCTTCAGGCTTGCGAGCTACAGTGCCTAGGGCGCTTTTGAGGAATCCTGGGTTTCATTCCCAGAAATTAATAACAATAATAATAATAATTACTCTTTTCGCCCCAATAGGGTGACTTTCCCATAGACTTGTGCACAAACCTAAACTGTCACCTAACCCAAGTTTACCTTATGTTTTTTCCACGCAATTTAGTATTTATACTAATTGGACCATGAGGAATCGATCTAGATGGTTAGCGACAGCAAAATGTCCTAAGGGTCGTTTTCATAAAAGGGCAACAGTTATTTTGTCGCCTCAATAAGGTGTATCGCCCTATTGTGGATGGAGTTCGCAAAACCTGTCGCCCTATTACAGTAATAGTAGTAATAACTTACGGAAAGGCATTTTTTGCGTCACATGACAGGATTAATAACAATTGACACACTCACCTAGATGATGCGTGTTCTCCCTCAACTTCATGGCGTCAGCGAACACAGCTGGCTCCACGCATTTCCGGGAATCCAACCGGAATTTCAGGTCGTCCAGACTGGCTCGGAGTTTCCACAGGAGCGATCCGGGGGACACGTCGCCGCGGACGCGAAGGGAGAAAAGAGACGCAGCAAGACCGGACCCGTAAGAGAACAGCCCGATTCTTTTGCCGGGCAACTCCTCGAGACTACAACTGGATATGGGTAAAGGAAACAAATTCAGCTGTGATGAACATTGAAATGTTACAAAACCGGGTGTCTGGTTACAGGTTTTCTAATCTATCAATTTTTTGAATATCAGACTTTCTTTTTCTGAAAAAAAAGTTCTACACTGAAGCTACAGCAAAAATACAATGTATATAAATCGCTAAACCTCAACTTTCTGCCTCATTTTTTAGTATGGGACAAGGATACTTTGTAAGGGACAAACAAAATTCATCATATTCAAATTAACCCTAACCCCCTAGGCCTTTTTACTAGGATGCACCCTCAACCCCTCAAAATCCTGCAACTGCCTCCATAAATTGCATACAGCCTCAATCCTCTAAAATCTTCCATTATTTCTTGATTTTTTTTTTCATTGGAGGGGTGACCAATGCCTCAATCCTGCAAAATCCTCCAACAATCACTGTTAATGTGTTGAGGCAGTGCTGAGGCAGTACTGATTATATCCAAAAGCATTGCGGGTGATTTCAAATATTATCAAGACCTAAATTTATGCACGGCTAAGCATAAACAAAACACAAAGTACAACCTAGACATTGGCACAATGCATCCTCCAAAATCAACTGACACATTTTTGCCAAACAGCTTTCAACATCATTCAAAATCCTCCACTTGTGTGAGGATGATTTTGAAAGATTTGGGAAGGTTAGGCTCCTAATATTCAGGCATGCAACTGGAAATTTAAAAAAAAACCAAGGAAACTCCAAACCACACAAGACTTTGTACATTATTTTGTAATTTGTAATGGCATTCACGGGCGGGGAAAAAGCGGAAAAATCAGTGGATCTGAAGAAAAGTTGCATGCCCGAATATTATTAAAGTCACTACTCATAAACACCCGGGAATGTTACCTTACTGTTACTGGTTCAGAGCTTATCATGTGGGCAATGGTGGGTGGTCTTAAACCACCATTTAAAGACTGCTCGGTGTTTTAACAGCAGTGTCTTGAGACCCCGTGCTCCACGCATCATGCACACGAGTAACAGCTACAACTGAGTGCCGGCTACAACCGAGTACCGGCTACAACCGAGTACCGGCTACAACCGAGTACCGGCTACAACCGAGTACCGGCTACAACCGAGTACCGGCTACAACCGAGTACCGGCTACAACCGAGTACCGGCTACAACCGAGTACCGGCTACAACCGAGTACCGGCTACAACCGAATACCGGCTACAACCGAGTACCGGCTACAACCGAGTACCGGCTACAACCGAGTACCGGCTACAACCGAGTACCGGCTACAACCGGCCATTATCTGCAACTAGGCCCCTAACCCTTTCTAAACCAAACATGTTTTCCTGTAACTGTCACGACCTTATTTAGTATTTGATTATTTCAAAGCTCACCTGGCCAAATACGAGACCAGTCCACCATACAGCGAGGGGGTGTACATGTTGCCTACTTGGTTTGCAACGAGGAGGGACGGTTTGGTCTTGGCAGCAAAGATCTCTTTGCTGCAATTCATGAAGGCTTTCTCAACGTCTCGATCAAAGAACGTCTCTTCCAGTTTCAGATCCCTGGCAAAAGAAGTAAAACAGACAAACAAAATTTTAAAAATTAAATATGTTTACCATATATGTCAAAAATATGCAGTCCGCAAGAGCATTCTAGATAAAGGCCCATTCACACTTTGTTAAGCCCGGTTCATACTTCACGCGAAAGCGAAGCGTAATTCGTGACATCAACAATACGTTGACCATTGTTGCGTCCACCATATATTTGTTGACGACATGAATTTTGCTTCGCACTTGCTTTCGCGTGTAGCATGAACCGGGCTTTAGGGTAACAGGAAACATCATAATGAAAGTCATTTCACTTCACTTTCATGTGAAGTACATGTATGTAAGAATAAGATGTAATAGTGAAAGAATTCCACACTCTTCACATGACAGCTGAAGATGGATTGGGCTGATTCAATTCAACCAAGCAGTCTTTTTCTTAGCTATTACATCAGTCGCAATCTGTTCTCTACCCTCACGGGTGCCCATGTAGATTGTAAACTCCTGGGTGGAAAGTGGCAATACAGCCTGGAAGTTCACCCCTGGTGGTGCGCTTCCAAATCCCTTAAAGCTAGAGTCCATCATTTGCAGCCATCCAAAAAGTAACTGGCGTAATTATTGTTGAAAAACAAACTTGGTTGAAAGATAGTAAGGGGACTAAACTCCCTGTGAAATTATTCTTTCTGGGAAGCTGTCATTTTGAAGTAATCAACGAAAGAAGGCATTCCCAATGGTGATTCTTAAGAAGCACCGTAGGAAAATTTAAATTAGTAGTTCGTTTTGTTGTTATTTAAATTAGTAGTGCGCGGTTGTTATAATTCGTCGGATCAGTGCGCGACATCGCGTATAGCTGCAATTCAAAACAATTCAAAACATGATTCAGTAACTTTGATTTGAAATTGAGATCTTAGAATGCTGTTTTTCTCGGAATATACAGCTGAAGCTGAGCTGAAACTTCATCAAGTAAGTTGTTCAGTATCCTTCATTAGATTTTGAACACGTTTGTTGCTTCAAACGAACAAAATGCACTAATTACAAATGATGGACTATAGCTTTAAATAGGAAAATTAACGTGCAAAAATTCTGACATAATGACTCAACTCGAAGCAAGTCACTGCCTTAGAATGACTCTACTCGACTCGAGTCACAAAATTCAGTGACTTAATAACACTGCTTACTTGTAGCCATTCAGGCCTGCGTAGCGTCCGCCTTCCTCCGTGTTGGGGTGAGGATCTCTCAAGAAATCGTTGAGAACCAGGCGAGCCAGAGACTTCTGGACCAGCTTGCAGAACGGACTGTGGAAACAAACGGCATCAAACTTGTCCAAGCTGCAGCGGGTGGTGTCGCCCTCTGTTGACAAAAGAAAATCACAAGACATGTGTTTTGAACAAATGCCACAAATTCAACCTTACAAAATAATTTTTTTCCCTTGCCCGTTTTTTCGTTTTCGTAAGAAAGATCAAACATAGCTTTTGATTTTGATAGGCCTACATCACTCGGTTTGACATCCTGGTATTAATGTGGACATGTGAAACATTTATTTTTTTAAATGCGCATTGCTCAAAAGTACGTAACGCAGGTTATGCAAAACTCATTTTATAGGGGTTGGGTCACTAAAATCCCTACAGTTGGTGCAGCCTGACAATCAGACGTCACACTGACCTGCAGGTGTAGATGCAAGGGGGGGGGGGGGGGAAGGTGGTTGGGGGGGATACATGTGAACCCCCACATTTCCTGCATGAAGTACAAGTGGTTGGCGGACCGCTTGTGTCACCTTTTGCGCAGTTGATCCCTGTATGTTTTTGTTTTCTTAAAGGGAATATACAACATTTGCAAACATCGAAAAATAAAACTACCAAGTTTTTACGAAATACCTTACTAGAATGTTGGTAAATGACAGTCTAAAGCATCCTGTAAAACTATGGCACCTGGTGTGAAGTCATTTTCAAGAAAATGGTATTTTTGTATACATTTCCAACGGCGGTCGGCCGACCACCGTTGGAAAAACTTAACTATTTTTCAGCTACTGCTCCAACTTTACACTTTTTTCAGTCCAAATTTTGTTTGCTATTGGTTACATGTTCATGAACCGGTGCAGGCCAGCTAGACTAGTTCCCTTACCTTACAATTTTCTGGCATCTATAAATTGATCCATTTTATCTTCAGTGGAGTCAAGGAACCAGACTTCTTGAACATTTTTGTTTTTCTCGGTTTTTCCAGCATTTCCGAACACAAAACTTCAAACATGTCAGTGTAACAATATTTTGATCCATTATACTAACCCCTCAAATAGTTCATTTCTGAAAATTACAGCAAAAGCCAATGATGTACATTCCCTTTAAAAAAAGAGGTCAAATTTTGTACATTGTTAAAACACGACTTCAAATGGCCCCTAGATGACCTTTGACCTTCAATCTGTAGACAAACTACGGTCATACCAAATTTAGGACTGGTTAGTGTAAATAAGGATATCACCTGATGCAAGGAAAAATTGCATGCCTCATTGTGCGATAAGTGACTGCAATTCTGCTAGACCCAACCCATTTCTACATATACCACAGGAAACACACTACAGTACTTTTGTCAGTCAGTACAGTGGACCAACAATTAAATGCTTATCTTCATGGATCAGTTCCCAACTTAGAACTGGGTCAGCGCAGCCCATTCAAGTTTATTTTGATCTCAACTTGAACTTTGTCACCACACTCCTCAGTTGATAGGGGTTACTATTTGCAGGGCTGTGGAATTATTTGGGGCAACTTGCATTCTATTTGAGGCCAGAGTTGGGTTATTTTGAACGATTGTTGCATTGTCTTGCCTCAAGACGGATAATGCACGATTAGATAAAAATGACAAATTACATATCTTGAGAAAAATATTTTAAGGCGCACTCTTGTGACCGTTTCATTGCAATTTTGGTGTCTTGCGCAATGTAAAAGTAAACACCTCACAAAATGTTAAATTTCACTGTACATTTACCTTTCAAATGTTACTTTTCTTTGACCTCTATCCTTAACCCTAATAGAACTCAACCCATCAAACCCCAACAGCATGTTTTGTTGGAATCTGTCAGGATGGGTACAGTACCCCTAAACTGACAGTCTTTGACATTGGCTTGGCACACCTCCAGAATCAAAGTCAGAAATATGTGTGTACAGTTTCCCATATGGTGTTGGAATTTGTCAGGATGGGTGGTTCCAAGTAAATCATGCTTGGGAATTGTGGTTAATTCATTCAATTGTTTGATCAAAGAGAATACAAACGAGTACATACGGTAGGCCTACCTATTTTGAATCCCAAAAACATAATTGCACAAATAGAATGTTCAAATTAGCACTTTTTGTTTTGAACACACTGGCTGGATTATATTGAACATTCTTGTCACAATGTAAAACTAAACAGGATAGTGAGTAGAGATACATGTAAATGAAGATTGAATTAAATTCCAAATGTTACTCTTCATTAAACTTTTCACGAAACTTTAGACTGTTTCGTTCCGAAATAAGACACATTAACCCTCCTATGCAAACATGCACTCTGTGCAAAGTTGTCCTTTCAGTCAAAATCAGTCCAGTGACTGTTTTCAACAGTTAAGAGCTCCCAGCATACATAAAGCAGTTGCTGTGACTGCTTACCGGTATGTTACTTTCATACAGCTATACTTTGAGTTTGACTGTACATGTACATTTATGTGCATGTTGGTGATTGATAAGCCAGCTTAAAAAAAATCTGAAAATTGAATGAAAGGTCTCAAAGAATAGAAAGATAACGTATTTTTCTATAATAATAATGACTTTCTCTCAGATTCAAAAATCTGATTTCAGACAAAAGTCTGTGAAATCTCATGTCTGGAAATATGATCTGACTGTTGGTGATTAGCCTGTGTACAAGGTATGGTAGGGAGAAGGATTGATATTTTTGACTGTCTGTGACTGTTCAGACAAAAGGAGGGTTCGAGTGTTTTTTTTTACTAACCTTTGGGGCTACATGATGTATGCCACCATGGAAAATCAAAAAATGAATTCCCCCCCCCCCAAAAAAAATGTCAGGCCATTGTTTGCTAAGAATTCCCCAGGCTTCAGAACAAACAACTCTGTTTTTTATCTCCAATCTTGACTCCACAAATAGAATTAGTGATTCAACTATTGTTGGTTGAGAGCTATTTAGAGTATAATCCTGAGGCTATATAAATTTATAAATGATTTAAATATAACTGACTAGTGGGATGATGTGTCTAAATTAAGTAACAGGCCACCAACGTAACAATGCCTGAATTGAACGACACTTAATTTTTATTTTTCAGAAATTCACCGTTTGGTATTTCATGGCCAAACCTGTTGATTGTACAGTACTTGCAATAAAAATGTCAGTGAAAAAAAAATTCTTTTTTTTTCTGCTGGTACAAAATATAAAATTTGTAATGCAAAATGAATTATTAGCCCACACACCACTTCGACGTTGACATGGTGAATTTGAAAATTCTTTTGATGCAGGGACTTTCAGGGAAAATCTAGCATATAACTAGATGTTTGTGGACAAACACATGGCTGCTTCGGCAATTTGTTGTTGTATTTTTATGTCGTCTTATAGACTGATAGGACATAGATGTGCAGAAGAAAGTTGCATAGTGATCAATGCCAATAGTTCGGTAGCTAGGCTTATAAAAATGCACCTTGAATGTGACATTACATTTCATGTGATGACATCATCATGACGTCACTTCAATTTTCATCTGTAACACATCCCAGCTGAGGTACATACAACCAAATCGGACCTAGTATAGTACTGCAGATATAGGCCATAGAAAAATGTACATTTAATGTGATGTCACATGATGTGTGATTACGTCATCGTGACGTCACTTAAAAGTTCATCAGTAGCACATCACAGTCTAGTACATATCAAGCTACAAAAAAATCTTAACAAAAACAAAGGCTGTTTCGGCAATAGCCCAAACAGCCAATTATGGGGGGGGGGGGGGTCCTTGGCATAAATATTTTAATTTAATACTTTAATGATTTGAATGTTAAAGGCTTAGTAATTAAGTCATGCAAGAACATGTGAATTTCGGAAACAATACCCCCCCCCCCAAAAAAAAACCCCACCAAAACAAGCAAAACACTTGTCACAGGGTTGGAGAAAAATAACTCCAAACTGATCTGACATACATGTACATGTACATGTTATACCGGTACTTATGGTTATAGATCCTTTAAAGGAAAAAAAAAATTGAAAAAAAAAAATGTTATAGACTCAGAATGCTCTTGTGTGACGTTGCATAATGTACCTTTCTGCATCAGGGCCTCGGCCTTAGCGCAGTAGCCCTGGTAGCACTTGTCTAGCGCCCCCAAGTAGCACTGAATGGACAGTTTGCCGTCCACTCGCGGGTACTCCGACGACATGTCCGGCTTGTAGAAATCGTAGACATGCTCCATGTGGGTGTGTCTTAGTCCTGGAAGAGGAAATGGGAAAATTTGTGGTGGAAAGGGGTCGGGGAATAGTCTGATCCCTCAGGCCTCGCTAACTGCGAACGCGAGCAACGATGCACCTGTCTCCCTAACCGGAGAACAACTTCTAAAGATCAGTCCTTCTGATTTGAAAATCACAGGCGTGTTGGAAAAGGCACACATGGAATTTTCTAGGCTTGTGATTTTTCTGGGAGTTTGATTTTTCTAGACGTGTGATTCTGTGCTCCAAGCTGGGACTGAACAATCTAGTATTTTTTTTTATAATCCATGTACTCATCTTGGTTTACAATAAAGCCGTTTTCTCTTCGCTGACGTACGTTATTTTTCACAAATTATGAAGTTTAATTATGCCATAAATGTATGCCGAGGTGTGCAGTACAGAGGTGTTCAGGCGTGCGATTATTCGCACTTCTCGGGAAGCTTTTAGGCGTGTGATGGCGTGGGGGTGCGATCGCACGCCTCAAATCAGAAGGACTGAAAGATATGATGATGATATGTGTGAACTTATAGGCACTAGTTTATAACTGAAGATTTTTTAAAAATTGCAACAAGTAATAGGCTGCTTGCTTGAATTTAAACTCAGTGATTGTCCTGAAAAATAACAAATGTGAGTTACATGTATAGACCAACTCGGGCAGGCTGTCAATTCTATCACAAAGACCACCTTCAATGGCGAAAGCATTGTGCTAGCTATTGTTCAGATAATCCCTTGCTTTGCATAATAGCGTGTACAATGGTTTCTCCATTGAAGGCAGCCTCGTGTACACAGTGATCATGCTAGATAGCAACTCTTGTTTTCTTATCCAAGCAGCAAGATTCTACCAGGATCTGGAAATCAGACCCCTTTTGGTAGTACCATTTTTTTTTACCTTAAAAACAGATCTATCAAATACTTACATGTACATGTAGTTGAGTTCCGATTCAAATTCGAATTCAAAGTGACCAATTTTGGGGGGCATACGTAGACTTCACTTTAACCCAGTGCAACCCTGGCAATGTAGACACTACTGGGTACTAAGCACCGTCCATATATTCATATTACTTGATTATTAGCTGTTTCCAATTTCAATTGGGAACAGCTCTTGTTTTTGTTAAAGTTTTTGTTTTTCCTTTTTTTTTTTTTTTCTTTTTCTTTTTCCACTTTTCCCCATAGGTTTTGTACACGTATTTATTCTACAAGCCACTTTGGCAACGAAATAATCATACAGCATCTGCTTTTGCAGTTGTTTTCAAAATTCCTTCGCGCAGTGATTACAAGAAAACCGCAAATTCCCAAAGGTGGTGTTGTGTAAACAACCATATACTACTTTAGAAATTGATGGTTTTGGGTGTTTTTTCCTCATTTTGCCGATGAAAAAAATAGGGTAGGGGCTGTCAGAATAGGGTAGGTAGGGAAACCGGAAGCAGAACTATTACTTTTTTTGGCCTTACTCTTTACCATTACTCTTTACCGTGACATGCAACCTTTTGTTTGGATTATGAAAAATCCATGTTTTAAGATGAGGGCACATGAATGCACACCCGCCTGCATAAACACATACCCTCACAAGTTTTGGGTTCTATGACAGATTTTCTCCTCTTATCACTGCGTGGGATTATTTTTATAATTCATACCTCGTTCTAAAACCAGTGGAGCGTCAGGTCCTATGAGCATTGCGATGGCGCCAGCACCTCCGGTTGGGCGGGCATTTCCGGTGGCGTAAACCGCGATGTCGCCAGCGACAACCAGAGCGTAACGACCTGCATACACATGTAGGCGAGAGACAAAGAAGTGGCCAGCACATTATGTAAATAGCCAGGAAGAGGTGGAAGTAATGTATTGTGAAATGACTTGGATTGATTTTTGAAAACATTTTTAAAAACTAACTCATCAAAGAAATGAAAATGTTTATTTCACATACTTGATATACAGATTATAAACACGCCAAAAGATTATACCAGATCAATACTCAAAACTGTCCTAGACACATGCGTTAACTTGCCTTCCTACATTTAAAGGTAGCGTCCATCATTTGTAATTGTGCATTAGTTCCTTTGAAGCAACAAAAAGCTTGAAATCTAAAGAATGGTGCTGAACAACAAACCTGATAAAGTTTCAGCTCAGTGAATGCTGTACGTGTGTATATTCTACTTTTTAACAATCTTTACCCCAAAACAGGATCTCAATTTCATGTTTTGAATTAAGCATGCATGAATATAGAGTCCAAAACACATTCTCACTAAGCCGATTGCAGCTACGCGGTGTTGCGCACTGAACCAACGAATTATAGCAACTGCGCGCGCGTGTGCGTTGTGCCAACACTTGAGCGCGCTTCGCCGAATAAACAAACAAACTACTACTTGAGATTTCCAATGATGCGTCTTTAGACCCAGATCATGATTTCTTCAAAACGACAGCTTGCCAGAAAGATTAATTTCACAGGGAGTTTAGTCCCATTACTATCTTTAAACCAAGTATGCTTTTCAACAATTATTACATCCGTTACTTTTTGGATAGCTGCAAATGATGGACTGTATCTTTTAAAATACTGACAAAATGCCTTCAAATTGGAAAGTCGTACACTATAAGAAGAACAGTTTGAGTTTACGTACCATCCCATGCGCTGGATTCAACCCACGCTGCTGCGTTGAACAGCGCTGCCGTTCCCCCGTAGCACGCGTTTGTCGTGTCGATTCCTTCCACGCTGGTGTTGCCGGAGTCTCTGAAGAGCTGCATCAGGACTGTCTTGACGCTCTTCGACTTGTCAACGATGGTCTCCGTGCCCACCTAGGGGTGCAACCAAAATTGCGACAACATAATACTCACAAGATGAGAATGCAACAATATCAAAAAGCTTTATATTTTTTAGCTGTGAACATGGTGAATACACCCAGACCAAAAAAATCAGAATACTGTATGTATTCATTTTCTTTGGTATTCATTCATTGAAGTTCAAATTTGTGGACAACACATCCACTGGGAAAAAATACCTTGGACATTTAGTGAAAGAGTTCTGGCTTGCCTTCTGATAAAGGCCTTCATTTTATCCATTTTTATTTAAAAAAAACATGTTTAGCTTCTGGATTTTTGAGAAAAAAGGAGACAGGGTTTTTAAAAAAAAAAAAAAAAATTTTCCCCAAGATAGCCAACAACCGTTGATTTTTACACTGCTCAAAGATACAAAAAATGAAACCGACATGCTGGACAGGAGAATTAAACATATTATTTACAGTGTTTTTAATAGTTTTCTAGCACCGTTTTACAAGAATAAAAAAACACTGCTGCGCCGGCATTCTTGTCCACGTCGAGGCTGGTTTGGAGATCGCAGGGTCGAATGCATGATGTGGGGAAGTGACCAATAGAGTCTAGAATTAGAAGTTCCGACTTGCAAGTACCGGTTTACGATGGATCGGTCGACATTTTGGCATTTTTTGCCAATTTTTTTTTTAAAAATCCAAGCGGCCGCCAAAAGGGAAGCGGGCGAGGATGCTAAAATGTTTTGGTTGTTTTTACTGCATCTAACAGTTATGCGCTTATCAATTGTTTTCCCTACCCCTCCCCTCCCGGGCTGCCCCACCCAAGACGTGGGGACTGTCACTTTTGAAGTGACAAAATCCCCACCCCTCGGGCAAAATTTAAGTGACAATCCCCGACCATGCCCCGACTTACATACAGGGGGCGCACTAGTGATTGCCTTTCCATTAGTATGCCAATGTTAACAATGTAGTTTGAGTGACCAAAATCTCTACCCTGGTGCATGAAAACGTGAACAAATCTTGATATCAGACCTGGGGTAGCAGGGGGGGGGGGGGGGCATTTGATAGGCGCATTACTGTCCAAAAAAAAGTAGCAACTGACAATAAAACGCCGCAACTTTACAATAAAATAACATCACAGTTGTGTGTGTATACATGAGACAGCCCTAAAGACGAGTAGCATTGCAAGACACCCTATTTATCTCACCTCCAGTCGCCCAACGTCGGTGTAAGAGATCTGGTTCCTCTCCATCAGGTTCTGCACCGCCGTCAGACACAGCGAGTTGATGTCCTCGCAGTCCGTACAGAAACCCATCTTGCTCTGGCCCAGGCCGATGGTGTACTTGCCCGCCGGTATCCCGTCAAAGACTTCCAAGTGCTCCTGGTCCACATACTGGGAGGGGAAGTAGATTTCAGTCGCGATGATGCCGACATCGTCAGGCCAGCGCCCGTCTGTGTTCCTCATGGCGTTGGGACTTGGCATTGTTTGCTTTCTCAATACGGAATGTTCAGCAATTTTAATCTCTGCAAAATAAGTATACAATACAATTTAAAGAAATGGAAGGAATTCCTAGAAGGACGTCACTTGGCACCCTGTGTACAAACCCTATGAGACTGGTCTGAAAAATGGTGTTTTCTCACTAAATGCTTTAACCCTTACCCTACTAGACCCTCCAACGCATGCCAATATGTGCCTCAAGAAAATCTCCTATGTTTTTTGCATGGCCCTCCAATATCTGCCATGTCATTTCAAGGGTAACTGGACAGGCACTCCAATACATGCCACAGAGAACAATGAGAGTCCTCTGATAACAAAGTGAGTGCCCCCAGCTGGTCAGTATCAGGCACCCTCCAGGGCCTCCAACTCCTGCCAATTGGAGCCTTCACTGTCAAGATAGTTTATCTGCCAATAAACTGCAGCTGGAGGGCATTGGCATAACCAACTGACATGCAGTAAACTACCCTCAGAGAGTAAGGGTTAATAATACTTTCCCTGCTAAATTTGACTTTTTAGGACATGTTTTCACTTCTAATAGCTGATGAGTCATAGCAGGGAAAATTAGTGACGTCTGTATATGGTATTCTTTTCAAAGAAACTACCATGGGTGAAAATATAAGGAAGAAAAGTTGCAACCTGACGCCACTTTTTCTTCAGGTATCATCTCAATGAAGGCCAGTCATTGCAAAAATGATAAGAGTAAGACATGAATCTGGGACTGGTAAATGTTTCCAATTTTGTTATGAAATAGAAAATTGGAAAAAATGTTGCAATCTGAGGCCACTTTTTTCTTCATATCTCAATGAAGGCCAGTCATTGCAAAAATGATGAGACATGAATCTAGGACTGAGAAACATTTCCAATTTTGTTAGGAAATACTCCATAAAATTTCTTGACTCTCCATAGACTTTGTACACTACCGCAAAGTGGCGTCAGGTTGCAACGTTTTGTCCAAATATGCTTGGACATTGAAAAGAATGTTGCATCCCGACAAGTGGGGCTAAAGAAGGCGAGCCATTAAAAAAATGTTGAAATGTTAAATCGAAACATCAAATTTTGTTAGAAAATAGGGAAAAATTCTGCCAACCGGACTCCACTTACCTGCCGCCAAACATCCAAATTTTCACCTCACCTTGTGATTTCAACCAAGAGGAATCCAGGAAAGAGTGGACATGCGAAAAAAAATTGGTAAAAATGTGTTTTTGGAGCACATTTTGCATGCACATGTAGTGCAGATCTGAGTTGAAGCAGCCAGTCAAAACTGATTGAAGTGTCTGGAACAGCGGTACGTTGTACGCATGACATCGATAACCATGACGTCGCATGAGACGTCGCATGAGCCGGCCAATGATAGTGCAATACGTCATTATGAATATTTATTTTCTCATGAATATTTAGTTTATTTCAATGAATACTTCAAATACGTCCAAAGATTGATCATTGCAACAGCGATCGTGCGCGGCCTAGCGGTTAAGAGACTCGTGTATCAAGCAAGCGTTCGAGGTTCGAAACTCGAAGAAGTGAGCGACTGATTGATAAATAGAAATTAAGGAAAGGAGGGGGTAAGAGTAGAGGAGGGAAAGTGGAGGGAATAACCATAAAAGGGGTAATTTTTGGCGCTAGAAAATTTATTGAAAAAAGTGGTGTCCGGTTGGCAGAATTTTTCCGAAAATAGGCCTACCCTGTAGGCTACTTTGAAAATATTCTTGTATCCAGACGTTGTTCACAACCACTGAAGTGGCGTCTGGATACTGCTTTCCCTATAATTTTAATGGACTTCTAAACTACATGTACATGATGTATGGAGGTTACTGTCATGACTGCACTAAACCATGGAGGTAGAATTAGAACTAGTTTACTCACCTGCTCACTGGCCACTGCTCAATGATGATGTCAATGTGTCGCTACACGACTACAGACTTCAGTGCAGCGTAAGGCGTAACGTTCGTTCCACAACTTCAACGCCGCGACCTGCAACCGGAATACCCTCAAACGAAATGACTAAACCACCAGTCAGCTTTCCATCCCAAACCTCAGAGTTTACTTAGCCCGGCACCCGTACAAAGTCGAAGATTAATGGTATGGTACGGGTCAGCCCAGATCGCCGGCCCACCACACTTCAGACACTTCGTTCGATACAATCATCATGGTCGGATCGCGTGATCGTTGCTTGCTTTCCAAGAAGCGTGTCTTGGCCTGAAACCCAGTCTCCACGAATTACTTTCACTGTAGAGTTGCTCTATTGAGGGACCAGTCTACTGGTTTATTTACAGACCGTAAAGTGTGTGTGGCGCCCTCATTTGACTAGCTTTTCATTGCAGCGGATAAGACCCGCCCACTTTTTTTTCATCATGATGCGTTTCTTTGGTTTATTTTGGCAATAATTAAAAAAGGAAAAGGGGGCGGGGATATGCAAAAGCTCGTGAAATCATACAAGCACGGCAAGTTGATTTCCCATAGCGGTATCTCCTTTCCCCCACAAACTTAAAAAGATGCATTCACCGTGCAATTTCGAGTTTCACTCTGAGAAAATATTTTTTTTTTCTTCAAAATATATTGTTATTTTCCTAGCAACATTAAATATACTCACTTTAATGAAAACATCGATCGACCAAAAAAAAAATTCCACAGATTTCGTTTATTGAATTATTTCTTAAATTAATACATTTCGAATCAGTTGCGGCTTGGCAATAATTCGGCTCTCGCTGGGGCCGAGAGGGGGGGGGGGCGTCATTTGGGCGTAACACGAAAGCCCGGCATTGCAGACGTCCAAAAATTCTTTCTCCGTTAAAAAGAAATCGAAGTATAGGCTCATCATTAAATAAATATTTCAATTGCAAAAAAAAGAAAAACCAGGATCCATGCTTTAATGAGGGAAATGGTTGACAAATTTTACATATTTTTGATCAAACTATAAAAACTCCCCTTTCACATTGCCCTTACGCATTTTTGAAAAAAAAATGTTAAACTGGGTGAAGGAAGGGCAAATTCCCAATCCAATTTAAAAGCAGCAGCCGAAACATTTTTGGCTATAATTACTTATCAAAAGTCACCAAAAAGCTTTGAAGAATATGATTTTGAAAAGATAACCTTGCAATAAACACAATCCAAACACAAGTTCTTCATCCACTAAGTACTTTCTTAAATTTATTGACGAATCAAGTAAGTGAAGCTAACACAAAATACACTTCCACAGAAAACACTATTAACAGACTTCTCATAATGTGTAGCAGTCCACCAACTACGGTCTATTAGGCCAAAAAAAAGTCTCCGGTTTTTTCTGGTATGGAGCTTGCCCAAAAAGTGGTGCGGCGACGCGGCTTTTTTTTTTTTACCTGATTTGTTTTACCTCAAATGTCGGCTGATGACTGCAAATGGTGCCCGACTAAACTTAGTGCAAATATATGGGAGTCCAGAGAGGCCACAAAAAGCTTATTCTCGATCATAACCCCATCGAAAAACACGTTAAAAATGTGCAGCAGCAGGATTCCAGTCAAACCAGTGAGTCTGGCGGTTTTAAGACATCATCTTTCATTGAAAAAAAAACTTTTTCATTTCGCCGACGCGCATGGCTACGGCGACGCGCGCGCATACCAGAAACCGGAGACTTTTTTTTTTTGGCCTTAATTGAAAGCCGTCGATTTTGAACTAAAACTGCAGGAGATGCCCAAACATCCGGCAGAAATCATTTCTGAAAAAAAAATGAGTGATTACAGAAATTAAGAAAAGGGGGAACCGCCAACACAGGGCTGGATAGTTTAGTTGGTAGACCATTGGAATCGTATTCCGGGGCTCAGAGGTTCAAACCCCCCTCAATTTCTTTGTTTGATTTTCTAATTTCAAAAAATAATTACATCAGTAGGTTTAAAATCTGTTTACACACATGTATTTAGTTAGTAGTTCATCGAATTTGATTCCCCCCGTAGTTTAGCAACATTTAAAAGCTGATGTACTCTTTCTCTTTCCCAATATCAAAAATGAATTTTTCAACTTACAGTACATAAGTGGTGAATATCACATTGCATTCCAAGATAAGGGGTAAAAAAAAATCAACAAACATAAACAGACACCAAAAATAAACAGGTAAAAAATATTAAGAATCATTTCAAACAATATAACATGAGTTGCATTAACAGATTTTAACTTTAAAAATGTCTTGTTGAAATGTTTGATAGAATTTTAAAAAGGATAACATTTCCATAAGAAAAGGATAACATTTCCATAAGAAACTGCATACTCTTTCCCAATATCAAAAATTGAATTTTTCAACTTACAGTACATAGGTGGTGAATATCACATTGCATTCCAAGATAAGGAGTAAAAAAAAAAAAAAAAAACAGAAACAGACACCAAAAATAAACAAATAAAAAAAATATTAAGAATCATTTCAAACAATATAATGTGAGTTGCATTAACAGATTTTAACTTTAAAAATGTCTTGCTGAAAATGTTTGATAGAATTTTAAAAAGGATAAAGTGTTCATAAGAAATTGCATTTACAAACTTTTAACTTAAAAAATAACTTCCAACCTTATTTGGATGGAATTTTCATATGGAGTTGCATTTACAATTTTTCAAAGATATCCTGCAAACTTTTCAGAGACTTTGTAATGCATTGTTGAATTCATTTACCAGTGAAAAGATATTATTCCTTAGGCCAAATAAAAAACAAAACATGTTTAGCATCCCCGCCCCCTTCCTTTTTGGAGGTCCCTCCTTTTTTTCTTTTGTTTTAAACCCCCAAAATGATAAATTTTAAACAGTGACATCATTTTGGCCTCTTTTTCTGTTGCATTTTAGCCCATATAAAGCTGGTATGTCATTTCCTGAGTCCAAGTGGCGGCCATTTAAAAAAAAGCTGGCCGCCGTCTTGAAAAATAGCCGGGTCGGGCGGCCATTTTGGAAGGAAAAATAAAAGAAAGGGCATCCTTCCTTGTTTTCAAAAAGGCAGGACACTAAACATGTTTTTTTTTTTACTTGGTCTTATAGACCTTATGCAATAAAGCGTTGTTAGAGGGCAATGGTTTCTTACGGTTTCGATAAGCATGAGCAAACCTGTGCATTCATCATTAATAAATTAAAACAAACAATATCCTCAGAGTAACTGCAACGCATATAAAGGTCTATATCAGACGAGGCAAAATCAAGTAATAAAAACAAAAAGATCAAAAGACGGTTTGTAAACTTTATAAATTTTAACATAAATTTGGATGCAGCATTAAAAACAATAAAAATCATACTAAACACAAATTAAGAAATAAATAAATATTTACTTAAAAGGACCTAAGAATAGGTCAACAATAAACATTTAATAGAATTTTCATAAATATCAAATAAAAATTGTATAAGTTTTCATCGTCTTACTCATGTAACTTACGAGTAATAAACTCTGTCTGTTGCACATATTTGGCTGAAGCAAGGTTGATGAGTTGATAAAATGAAACGGTCCACTTTTGGGGGAATTCAGCTTTTTGTGATTCACAAAAAAAAACCTGGCATTTTAAATCAAGACTGCTTCTTTTTATACACATTTTTACTGTTTTTGTTGCCGACATAAATATACTATATTCAATACACTTGCACTAGTCTTGTGACCTAAATAAATACACAATGTTCCTATTACACAGTAGAAAGTAACTTAATAAAAACACTAAAATAAGTAATATAACTCAGTTGATAGAAATATTATATCTGATGGAGAAAAAAATCACTTAATATACAAATATAACATGGTTTGAGGATGGACAACTTCCAATAACGAGGGGAGCTAATATCGACTGTCCACCCGAAATAAACCATGTTATATTTGTTTTACTATACCTCATACATATTCAGCGCCAATTTTTTTTTTTTTTTCATTGCAGTATGCACCTACAAACAATTTTTTTTGAAAAACTTGTCCAGTTCACCAAAAGAATCGTATTGCTCAACTTCACTAGTTCAGTTTGTTTGCAATACAGCGCAGCTGTAAATTATACAGTAGTTTGTGTACAACATTCTTTTGTACAGGAGGCATCTTTATTGTCCATAAATATTCTCTAGTTCGGCATCATTGAGCTCGGGAAAATAACGCGCCATGCAACCATCTCTTCGTGTGTAGCTCGTTTGGGCGATGTTCACGCGTGCGTACTACACCCCTGCGACAGTTCCATGATTGCTTTATAAAGCGCATGCACAGTAGACTGAGTCTACTTCGCATGCGTATTTACCCTGTGCGTGAATCCTCGCGCGTGCGCTTGGTAAACAGCAAAAATAACATCTGGCACGTGATGGTGAATTGACCAGTGAATGTTCGGCTCTCGATCATTATATGTATGAGGCATAGTAATGTCAATTACTTCATGATCCATTTCCGAATTAGCCTTCCGTGCAAGGCTGTTTATGTGCTGTATCAGCGTGTAGCTTACTGGGCTCCACGTCCACTTACACATGGCGAAACCTCGATCAATCGTACAGTACACATGAAGCCTACAGTGCCCACTGTACTGAACATGCACAGCCAGTACTGCCCCATGTGGAGTCACAGCCCGTGCTCCAAAGTGACTCACACACACAGTTGCGAATTTCTATACGCCCGAGGACAATGCTTTGTTTTTTCCTTTGTCCCTGTCATATAACACTCTCCCAAAGACTAAGCACATAACTGTATGATCAAAGACCATTTACAACAAAAGACCCCACTTTCGAGGACTGAAAGGATCCTTTGTTCTCCCTTTGTGTGACTCTGTCCTCAAATCGTAAAGCATACATGTACGTGTACATGTACACGTACATTATGTATGTACACCAAAGTGTACGCTGGCCTGGACTCTCGCATGGGTGTGAAATGGTAATGATGGGTGTGCAGTACAGGCATGGGTGTGCAGTACAGTTTATACGTACAGTATGCACTGCAGGCTCTGTGCATGCGAGGGATCGGGTTTCTCCCCGAATGTGGAGCTGGCCAGGTTAGCTATGGCCAGCAATGCGCGCACGCTAATACAACACATACAAAGCCTTGCATTCAACGCTATTTCCGAATTTGAAACTACAAAAGGAATTGGTTATCCAGCAGGTCCATATTTGGGAGGTTTTGTACTGATATTACATGTGAATTGACACTTTTAACACTTTTACATGTGTGCATGTACCGTAGGCACAGTTTGCACCCTTTTTTTTTGCTGTTCTTGAAAAAAAAAAAAGTGCTCTTTCACGAACCACAGTCTGAATAAGAATAACGGTGCTTTAGTCCACCACGCTGAGATTTCACGAATGCACTAAGCATGAATGCATGTCTATCTCTACAAACACATACACATGTATCAGTACAATAGTTCATTGATCAAGTGTTTCATATTAAAATCCAAAATAAACACGTTTTAAAAAACAGTTTCGCCATTTACAGCAAATGCATTTTTGGTCAGATAACTCATAAGGAATATGACTACACCTCATACATATTCATGATCGAGAGCCAAATTCTCACTGGTCCATTCACCGTCACGTGTCGGCTGCCAGTTTTGCTGTTTACCAAGCGTGCTCGCCAGGATTCACGCACATGTTGAATACGCATGTAGGCTATAACAGGGGTTACACATGCACTAGTCTACTACGCATGCTCTTTAGTAAGCACGAGCTCGCCCTAGCTACAAGAAAAGATGGCGGCACACGCACACCAATGTTTTGCCAGGATGATGCTTTTTGGTGAATATATATGAGGTATGGTAACACAAATACAACATGGTATATTTCGGGTGGATACTGGATATTAGCTCCCCTCGGTATTGGAAGTTAAACTAGTTCCCTCCACTTTGCTTTGGGAACCAGTTTGTCAACTTTCAAAACCTTGGAAAGCTAACATCAGTAACAACCCTCAAACCATGTTATACTACTGTCATGACTATACAGTAATGCTGACAAACTTTGGATCTTGCATTGTGTGAATGAAATTGCATCTAGTGCCTCAATGTAGTATACAAATATTGAATGCTTCGAGTGGTGTCTAAAACTAGCCTCCTGAGGTGATCCATGGACATTCTATTTTCCCGAGTCGAAGCCGAGGGAAAATAGAATGGTCCATGGATCACCGAGGGAGGCTAGTTTTACTTCACCACGAGATAAAGCATTCAATATTTGTTTTATAACACTTCACCCACAGATTCTGCTTGATTTTAATATTTTAAATTATTTAAATCTGAACACAGTTGAAATAAACTTCCATTTCAATACAAAATTGGTGGGAAATGTATTTCTCTCTTCCAAACTACCCCTTCACGAAATGTTTGAACCCAAGTCTGCGGCGCGCTCTCTTTGAAACAATACGCGCTACGCGCAACGCGCACACCAGCATGCATTTGCACACAAATACCGCGCTGTGGAAATAGTACTTTGGTTGCCAATGGTATAGTACTTTGGTTGCTACGGGTATAGTACTTTTGGCCGTGCACAGAAAGATAGCAAAATTAGAAAGTAACATGTGACTCGCTCTCGGCCAATCAAGACACAGAATCTGTGGGTGAGGTGTTATAATGCATTATATGTTGATTACCATTTCCATCCATGAATTAACATCATGAGAGAAAGACGTGGCTCACTGGCAGAGAACAAAGGAACAGGCCTACTACGGGGCGAGTCAGACAGATTGGTACCCTGTAAAAAGGAATTTTTTCGTTAACTTAAAGACAAGTATAAAGCAATTTAAAGAAAGAAACACAAACTACAAAGTGTAAGCAATCGCCTGATTTTGGTTTCATCAATTTTGCTTTTGTGGTTCAGGAGATACAGATTTTTGCAAAAAAATTCATGAAAATCAATTTTGTCCACGGATCACTGAATCAGGCTAAACTGTCCAATTTTGTTTCTTTACTTATCGTATTGTTTATTCAACAATGTTTCTGATTATTGCAGAGCTGATAAACTACAAACGTTTGACATGAATACAGTTTTTTGAAATCATTTCCGTCTCATTTTGTCATTCAATTCACATGACTGAGAATAACTCAGGGTTCCGTTTATGGGCACATGTCAATCACGCCTAACCGACAGGTCAAAAACCGACACATCTTTGCATATTAGGTATTCCGTGGACAATTTTGTTTTCCCCCTATTTTTGCCGAACATTGTAACTTTCAGAAATGTTGTCGTTTCGTGTTTGTACAACAGGGGTTTCTAATGATGTACTATTTTCAACCCCGTCTTCAAAAATTACTTTTAACATCTTTTTGAAATTGGGTACCCATCTTTCCGAATCACCTGTGTAAATCAGTTCAGATACATTTTTCTAAGAGGCTATTCCCACAAACCAGGATGACAGGGCGTCTACTTAGCATCTTTCTTCTTATACTCCTTCACTCCCGACTTCAGTGTTTCTTGATTGGCACCGGAGAAGGTCTTCAGTTGCTGGAAATAGAAAGAGGGGAAATTATTAGCGGTGATAATCCGAATGACTAATTGTAAGACTAGAGTGGCAACATTTAGGGACGCTGATTTCTGCTTGGCCGGTAAAACAGAACAAATTTCAATGAAATTCATCTTGGGGTGTCCCCTTTTTATTTCTTTAGTTCTCATTTCTGACCGACCCTATTTTGGGCTCCCAACCCCAAGAAAAAAATTAATAATTCCTTTTACCGCATACCCTCTGGAACTCCATTAAAAAAATTAAAAAAAGTGAATACAAAATTCAAGCAATCAGGCAAAATGCAAGTGTTATTGTGAGCTTTTGTTTTTTGTTTTAGTCCATCATTTGTAATTTGTGCATTTTGTTCGATTGAAGCAACAAAAGTGCTCAAAATCTAAAGAAGGGTGTTGAACAACTAACAACTAATCAGCACAGCTTCAGCTGTATATTTCGAGAAAAACAACATTCTAGGATCTTGATTTCAAATCAAAAGTTGCTGAATCATGTTTTGAATTGGGCCTGAATTCAGTGTCAAAGACACGTTCTCATTGAGCCGATTTCAGCTACGCGATGTCGCGCACTGATCCGATGAATTATAGCAACCGCGCATACGTGTGCATCGTGTCAATGCTTGCGCTCGCTTCGCCAAATAAAAAAACAAACTGATGCGTCTTTAAGCGCATCGTTGGAAAAGCCTTCTTTCTTGATTTCTTCAAAATGACAGCTTGCCAGAAAAACTAATTTCACAGGGAGTTTAGTTCCCTTACTATCTGTCAACCAAGTATGTTTTTCAACAATAATTACGTCAGTTTCTTTTTGGATAGCTGCAAATGATGGACTGTAGCTTTAAGGAGGAGAAACATGTTCAGGTTCATATTCTATACCAAAAGGGGTTTCTTAAATGTTTAAACTTGTACCAAAGATGGGCAGACACACTGTTACGTGAGTTACAAATATATCCCTCTAGAGATTGTATGATTATTTTTTAATCACCGTGTTCCTCGTCAGGATTCGGACCCATGTACCACTGCACACGAGTCGAAGACCGTAACCATTGGACCACAGCACCCCACACAATACATAATACACCAAAGTCTCTTTTGTGAAAAACTGTGGCAGTGAAAAGAACCAGTTTTGAGAACTGCTCTCTCCTTGTTTCAAGTACCCTTTGCCATTCCCAGGAGAAAGCCACTTTATTTCCATTTTTGGTACCTTTCCGGCACCACGCAGAACTCCATATTGCAGATTTTACAACACCTGAATAAATCCCCGTCATCTGATTGGTGGATCATTGATCACATGTCATTGAATTATTTGTCCCAACACACGGCGCGCAGCGCACAGTGCAATGGAAGTTCTATTGCATGGTGAATAGAACTTCCATTGCACGGTTTCACTGCTGCTGGTGGTGGCGCTGTTTTAAATCGAGATAAATTGAATATGATTGATCTCAACCTGTTGGACAGTTTGCATAAATTAAATATGATGAACTTGTTGAACTTTTAAACAGTTTTTAACCTGAATAAATTGGCTATTTAAAGTCAACCAATCAGATGACAAGGATTTATTCAGGTGTTATATAAAACAAATAATAAATGTTTCACGTTCGTGCAATGGAAAGAATAATTTCATTCGGTGACGGATGAAATGTTCCATTCTTCGCCTCATGGAATGGAACATTCCATCTGTCACCTCATGAAATTATTCTTACCATTGCACTCATAAACATTCATTATTTGTATACTATTACAGTAAAGGATTTCTATTGACACGTAAACTCACTTTTCCATTTTTGTAGAAACAGAAGGTTGGCATGCACTCCACCTTACACTCAGCAGCAATCTCCTGGATTGGGAAAAACAAAGATTTTTAATTAAAAATAATCGGGTAAAACACAAAGGGAAACTACAAATTGCAAACACATACTAATTGTAAAAAATGACTGGAACGGGGATTTGAACCTGTGACCTCCGGATTACCATTTCGGCATCCTGAAAAAAAATGGTACATGTAAACCCCATTTTTGCTAATTTACAACCAAAATTTTCTGGGGATGTTTACACCATCTTCAAGGTAATAGATTTAGCTTGAGAATACCGTTTGTTTCATTGAGATTGCTTTTGTAAATCCAAAGAAATGTTTGAATAACGGCAAAGCCAAGAAACCCATTTTGTGCCACTTTCTGTGAAGCAGTTAAAATCAGTATAGTCCTAGTCTAAAACCAAATCACTTTGCCGTTAGTGATTTTAACATTTATAAGCAGAGTGTGCAATATTTATTCATAATTAATTGAACTCTTTCATTGAAGTTTTAAAGAAGAACCCTATATTGTCGTGTGAATAGAATGTTCGTCTTACACCCATAGGGATAATCTTATCAAAAGAGCCACACTGGCGTTGTCTGATCTTTGAAGCACTCGCTTCCTAAAATTGGCACAGAATGTTTTTTTTTGGCTTTGCCGTTATCCAAAAATATCTCTGGATTTACAAAAGCAATCTTAATTAAACAAACAGTATTCTCAAGCTAAATCTGTAACCTTGAAGATCGTGTACACATTTGCAGGAAATTCCGGTTGTAAATTTGTGAAAATGGCGGGGTTTACATGTTTATTATTTTCAGGACACCCTGTACCAACTAAGCTATCCAGCACTATGATGACAGTTATCACAATTTGTCAGCATCTTTGTCCAAGGTGGCATGGGTGGCTTGTGCGTACAGCGCTCGCCTCTCACCAAGGTGACCCCGGTTCGAATCCCGGCCGTGGATCAAATGTGAGTAGAGTTGTGCTTTGGTTCTTTCCTGTGCCACGAGGGTTTTTCTCTGGGCACTCCGGTTTTCCTCCCTCCGGAAAAATCAAACACTTTCGATCTCAGGCTGTGCTCCATGATCATATGGGTTGATGTGGCCGGCAGCCATAGGCGCCTTTACGTGCCAGCAGCCTGACCACGTTGTAGCCGTAGCAAGCCGCGTCCTTCGCAAATTCAGCATCCCAACTGCCAGTAAGGATGATTAGCCTCCCAAATTATAATTATAAACCCATTAAATAAATGGCATGTCACAATGCTGGCAACATTAGCAATGCTGCAAACCTTGGAAATAGCAAACAGGGATCACTCAGAGAGCACACAGCTTTCAAAATTATCAAATAAACCACAAAAAGAGAAACCTGCCCAGTGTAACAAGACCAAAGAGGTCAAAGTTTCCAAGACCAAACCGCCTTATTGTCTGTGATTGCCAAATGCAGAAGGATACAACAGTGGCATTTGTCAATGTGACTAGCTAGCTCCCGTTGTCTCTAAACTGGATGCACTGGTGTTGATGGCTCAATGCAGCAAGGTCCCACAGTTGGTTTCACATGGTTACTTTTACCAGCTAAAGTTTGCCCCATTAAAAAATAAAAACTACTGGTCTAATAGTCCAGTGCGGACAGCGCGAGTCAGTAAAAAGGCACAAGAAAGTTGTACATCCAGGCACGATGTGAAGTTCACACTGCACAGTGTTACGGTTTCTGTAATTATATTGATTTATTCACCCCTTCAGTTGAAATAGACGTGTCTTATAGAGTCTCAGGCTTCCAGCCGCACAATTTTTAGAATGTTATTGTTTCTTTTATAATCATTACGTAAGCCTGTAGTTCGTGCAGACGTGCCCAAGTGGTGCGATCCAGGGATATTTATTGTTACATTGTTATTTGATTATATAAAAGGGTTAAAACCACGTTAATTGTCCTGACTGCAGCACATTTCGTTGACGCTACGCTGGAGGGCTGGTCCATTTACATGTACATCGAGCCATATCGTTTGTCAAGAGCCGTGCAGTTTCTCTACCTGTCGGACGTGTGTGTTCTGTGCTGAGCGCTGATGGTGGCTTCACCTGTCGTCGGGCAGACGTCGTGTCGGCGTGCTGGTGTAATACTGACTCGACTGGATGCCGTACTGCTGTCCTACTGGCATGACTGGTTGTTGGTGAGCTGCCGTCCTAACGCTAGAACTTTCGGCGGGTCCGCTACCCGTCTCGTGATGAGACTGTAACCGAACTTTTCGTTTCCGTGTCGGCGGGCCGACCTGCATTTTACTCCCGTTTCACTCCTCGTAGGATGCCACGAATTGGGACGTTGTCATGACGTTGCTGCTGCTGGTCAGGCAAGACTTAAGTACTAAATTATGATTGTATAAGTTTGATTTTGATGGTGTACTGTAATGTGAATTAAGTGATGTGTGTCGTACTTTCATGCAGTTTGGTTGATTTGATTGCATTTTGATGTATTGGAATTGTGAATGAATAGAATTGAGCATATTTGAAAATTTAGATTTTGTCTCCTTTGTTGGATTTATTTTTCTTGCTTGTCAATATGCAACAACAGGCACACTTAAAGCTTCTGAACTTACTTCTTGCTCGTCGACGTTGACCTGGATGAAGCACACATCTTTATGTTCTTTGGCAAGCTCCTGGAAGTCAAGAGGAAAACAATACCTTAAAATTAGTTGACCATAATTTGGAGACTTGTCTTCAGTTGTCCCACTCCCTGCATGTTAACTCAATGATACAATGTAAATGGAAGACTCCGTGCACATGTACCCCTCACATACCGGTATTTACAAAGACAGACAGACAGAGAGAGCTTCTGGAGGATGTCAATCATCAAACGCCTCAGAATCAGTCATTCTGCACTACATCCCTTAGTCTGAGGTTAGAACATACTCGAACAAATGAAGAGTTTATTTCCAACACGCGATATATATCCATTTGAAAATGGTGAACTTTTTGCGGGGTTTTGAAACTTTAACCCTAACTGCCCCCAATGCTACAAAATACTAATGAGTAACCTGTAGTATTCTTTCCATACAAGCGTGCACAACAAATGTAGTATTCTGTGGTATTTGGTACTTGACCCCAACATTTTACGCGATAGCCTCTAAAAAAGTTTTTTCGCGACTCGAGCTGTGATGACTTTTTAGCCTCGAGCTTTGCGCATCTTTTGATACCAAAAACATAAAAATCGGACCACGGGCTGCCGCGTAGCGAAAATTTTTCCGTGAAAACTGAATGTTTGCATATATACGTCGTGTACACAGAGCAGAATTGCCATTCGTACATATGAACAATTAATTAGCCATAATTCCAAAACCCTTTGGCTGAGAGATGGTCAAAATACCCCGGCCCTTTTAGGGTTAAGTATAAAACAACCGTCAATATTGCTTTTGGGTAGCCAGGAGACAGCAGGATTCTGAAAGGGAACAATGTGGCGTGAATCGCATTTTGGAAATGAAGTCTTCACATATTCAACAGAGTTTGAATAATCGACTAGTGAGTTATTCCAAAACGCACAGCCCTAGAAAGAGGCACGTTTTCTTCAGATTGTCAAATCCAAAAGACTGTTTACCACAAAAGTTGGTTTGATGGCTTTGCATGGCCCACACCACTCAGCGTAGAAGTCCACCACAACCAGGGTATCTCCGCTTTTATCTCTGTAATTTTCAAACTCCTCCTGAAAAAAAAAAAAAACAGTCAGGCATAAAAAGTTAATTTGAAAACAAAGACAAAGTCTATTCAAGAGACATACATGGGTAAATAACTTTCCATAGCAAGAGGAAAATGAAACATAACAATATTAAAGGTGGTATGTGAGTGCTTTTTCAAAATTTCGATTTTCTTTCCAAACGAAGTTTAAAGGAACATAATGTCATGCAACAAATAAATTTGCTTGTTTATTTTTGCAGGCCTTCATACAGTTCTGAAAAGTGGTTATAAATGGCGCGCTCCAGTTCAGAATTTGCGCACATACATGTACTGGTAAGTATTCAGAATGAATTAGGAGAGTCCCGCTCTTAATTCAAAAGTTGAAATTAATTAATTTATTACGTGTTGTGGGCTGATTTTTTTCGTGCGATGTCTCACTGGAAAGCTCACAATGAAATGTACTGCTAGAAAATTATCAATTCAATTTGAAAAACTATTTTTCAAGGTGCCACACCCCAAATGAACATGTACACGAATGGAGGTCAATTTACACTGCTCGTTATGGAAGACCAAATACATGCACATACATGTAGTTTTAGAAATAGAAAAATGCTTTACACATTTTGTTAACAAAGAAAACTGTAAATTTTAGAGTATTTTCGTGGTGTGGTAAAAACAGGACTAGGGACAGAAACATCTGTAAGCAGTCAGCAACAATGCCACATGAAAATACTTCTAAACCACAATATTCATATTTCTATTAAAAATTGAATTGATACATGGACATCAATAATGCAAACTAGAAGACTGCCTGACAGATGGACATGGACAATGACGAATGACAACTGAAAGCTTCAGGTACTGCTCATTTACCAGTATCTGTTTCAAAAACGTATACATCTACATGTATGTACACGTGCATACAGTTCTTTAAATTTTATGAAGAAATGCCTGCAGCAATTCATTGAAATGGACATGGATTAGGCCAAAAAAAAAAGTCTCCGGTTTCTGGTATGGAGCTTGCCCAAAAAGTGGTGCGGCGACGCGGCTTTTTTTTTTTTTTTACCCGATTTTTTTGCTTCAAATGTCGGCTGATGACTGCAAATGGTGCCCGACTAAACTTAGTGCAAATATATGGGAGTCCAGAGAGGCCACATAAAACTTATTCTCACCCATAACCCAATCTAAAAACACGTTAAAATTGTGCAGCAGCAGGATTCCAGTCAAACCAGTGAGTTTGGCGGTTTTGAGACATCATCTTTCATTGAAAAACACTTTTTCCTTTTGCCGACGCGCATGGCTACAGCGACGCGCGTGCATACCAGAAACCGGAGCCTTTTTTTTTTGGCCTTATCAAACTTGAATATTTTCAGCAATGTTTTGTAAATTTCAGGGAAATACATGAACATCAGAATGTACATTGTAAGCATAATATTTAGAATCACATTTACAGTACATGTACAAGCACGTACGTAGGTGGTACATTTTGTTTGTACATGTTAAAATTATGCACTTAATGTGCAAGATGCACAGTCATTATAACTAGTTTCATGTTGACAAGGGTGCATTACACTGTCTTATGCATCACAAGATGGAGCAAGTGTTCCATAATTAAGATGCTGCTTTAGATAATGTTTTAGATAACAACAAAATGTTTCACAAAAATTGTTTGGTATGTATGTGGCAGGGCCCAGTTTTAGTTGTTTATTTTCATGTATTCAATGTATAGTGTATTAAATAGGAGTACCGGTAGCTCCCATCATGAAAAAGAAATCATTTTAGTTACTCAAGATTCCCCCCCCCCCCCTTTATGTTGGTTTTGGTCTTCTTTAGTTTTTTTGGTTGGGTTTATTTACTTTTCATTTCCAATTACTTTTTGTTTCCAATTTGATTTAATTTTCCAAATTTATTAATTTCTGGTTTTGTTTTCCCAAAAGGAATTTTTTTTGTTTTGGTCACATTTCAAGTTTTTTTTTGTGAATGTAAAACTTGCAGTTAATCCTGGATTAAATTTTTTGGGGGGGTAAAGTTCCATCCCAATTCAGTCTGTTTCTTTCTTTTTTAAAAAATTGGTCCCAGTTTGCTATTAAATTTTTCGCGACTTATCAATTTGAACCAGGCCTTTACAGATATTTTCTTTAGTGAACCGTTTTTCTTCGTTACATTTTGGGCCCTGCCACATGTACAGCAGTAATTTGTTATAGCGATTTTTAACCACCAATGTTCTGGGGGTACAATTGTACATTGTACATGTACCGGTACCTATGTTCCCCAATACCTATATTCCCCAACCCTAAACCCTAACATCCAACCCTAAACCTTAACCCTAACCCTAAGGATTTTGGGGAACATACATGTACATGTAGGTATTCTGAAACATCGGGTAGACCCCGTCCATACATGTATAATAATCATGTAACATAAAATTCAGGGGCAAAATGTTCAGTACAGAACTGTTTGTTGTATTTAAACTGTGTGGTTAAATGTAGGTTGCTGAGGTACCGTATCTCTATTCAATTACATGTAATCTCCAGTGGTGTAATATCTAATGAAGCCTCACATCATCGCCCAGTCACTCAGCCACTTCTGATGCTACATGTACATGTGTAAGTAAAATTGCTCTATGCAGCTGATGCATCATTGAAGGTCAAGCCTCTGCTAACAATCCTTATTTAATTTGGACCCAACGAGATGCTACCGTACAAAATCAAGACATACATTTTTTAAGGGGGGGTGTTGAAATTATTATACTGTACCAGTAGCTTTGCTTGAGAAATGTTAATTTTAAAGGCAATAGGTCTACATACGTAAACAAAATCCTTAATTTTGCTGTAATTTTCAGAAAATATGGATTTGGTGGTAACATGTAGTGTTTTTTTTGTGGCAAATGTGATGGGGTCAAGCTAAATGAGTCATTTGTCAGGAATTTTCATTTGGACATTGAAAATTAGTCCAGGCCCAAAATAGGGCCACTTCATCACATCACTTCATCACATCTCTTGGTGTTTCGACTTCCATAATTTTTGAACTAAAGATGGTATTAGCATGCGGTCTTCACAGCAGTAGGCCTACAGGTACATGTACCCTAATAACGCTGCTCAAGATTGTGCTTCAAATCTACCGGTATAAAAAAAGATTACCAGGGTCAACAAACGACTCATTTTGCTTGATTGCATCGCAAATATTGTTACACTAGCATGTTTAAAGTTTCGAGTCCATAGATGCTGGAAAAACCAAGTTAAAAAAATTCTTCTTGCAGCCTTGTTCCCCGACCCTACTTCAGACAAAACAGAGCAATTTATGGAGGTCGGGGAATTATCAGGTACGGGTACCAGACTTGCTGGCATGCACCCGTTCACGGATGTGTAACCAGTTGCGAACAAAATGTGGACAAACTAAATTTGTCATTTGGGGCAATATTTGGAAAAAAACCTCAGTTTTTTCCCCAACGATGGTTGACCAACCATCATTGGAAATTTAAAAAAAAATCCACAAAATGAAAGCACGCCAGGAGCCATAGTTTCACAGGGTGCTTGAGACTTACAGTACAATCAAGTACGGAATTGGTAGTTCAGGTTTTTTTTTTTTTATGTATGCCAATTTTGTGTATACAGGTACATGTACTATACATGCACTCTTAATTTAAAACTCCCTACTGTCTTACCCTAGTATTAGTACTGGACAAATATACATGTCTGCCAAATCCATCAATCACAATGCTTTCAATGCATACCCTGTACTTTGCTTTAGGCTTCCAGGCCCAAGTCCATCATACTCAATTAACATTAAGTCAAACCAAGCCTGCAGGACCAATTCCCACAAAACCAAACCACCAAAATGGGGGATGGGTTTGGATGGAGTTGGAAACGTTAGGGCTAAAAAGGTTCCGGTACGGTACTCTCCACGCTCTTTAGAACAAGCAATTCTTTTTTTCTCTACTCAAATCTAAATCTTTTATGTTTCATTTTTAACCGGAACAAATAAAAATATACTTTTCTACTTTGGGCATATACATGAATGTAATCCTCTGAAAAGGAGCTTTTATTATGGTGCAAACCAATCTGCAATACCGCATATAATTTAATATTTGTGAAGTAATAATTTCATTTATAACTAAATGTAGGTCTTTTTTTTTTTGGTCCACATCTAACATGTCTAATTCAAAAGAGAAGTAACCTAAATTGTATTGCTAAAAAAAGAGCAATCTAAAAAAAAGAAATGTCTATAATATTAAGGTTCCAAATTAGCACAAACCTAAACAATAAACTGTATTATAACACCTCACCCACAGATTCTGTGTCTTGATTGGCCGAGAGCGAGTCACATGTTACTTTCTAATTTTGCTATCTTTCTGTGCACGGTCAAAAGTACTATACCATTAGCAACCAAAGTACTATTTCCATGGCGCGGTATTTGTGTGCAAATGGATGCTGGTGTGCGCGTTGCGCGTATTGTTCCAAAGAGAGCGCGCCGCAGTCTTCTGGGTTCATACATTTCGTGAAGGGGTAGTTTGGAAGAGAGAAATATATTTTCCACCAATTTTGTATTGAAATTGAAGTTTATTTCAACTGTGTTCAGATTTAAATAATTTAAAATATTAAAATCAAGCAGAATCTGTGGGTGAAGTGTTATAAAACAAATATTGAATGCTTTATCTCGTGGTAAAGTAAAACTAGCCTCCCTCGGTGATCCATGGACCATTCTATTTTCCCTCGGCTTCGCCTCAGGAAGTCCATGGATCACCTCGGGAGGCTCGAAGCATTCAATATTTGTATACTCTTTTATATTGGATTTGCTCTTCACCACTGTCATTATATGACCACAAGGTGTGGAATTACAGTCGAACATCTGATTTATTTCAACTTTTAACGAGCATGACAAGAGTGTTTTAGAGGGCATAGAAAACCAAAGGTTAATCACCTCGATCACACAACTCTCTCATCAATGTGAAATAATGCCGGAAATTCGGACGTACGTTTTAGACATTTTGGGGGCTTGTAATTTTTCCTGTGTTAATGCTGTCAAGTTGAAACACATGGTTTTCAAGCATCCCTGGTAGAAGTGTAGTTCTTAAAAATTTATTTGCAAAATCATTCTTGATAACCAAGATAGGTCCGAAAAACCACTCGGTTTCGGACATATTCAGAAAAGGGTATTTTTTTTACTTCATGTGGCACTATCAAAATCTTTCTGAAGTGTTTAGGCTATTGATTGAAACTGATGCAGTTTTGTTTGTAAGAGGGACCAAACTGAAGAAAGCAACCAAAGAAAAAAAAAAGAAGTCATAATTATAACTAAATTTTGTGTGGTTTTTTTTTTTTTGTATTAAGTCCCTCGAACATACCGGTGTCACATGAAAATCCGACTCCTATGAAAATCGGACCCCTATTTCCCTATTATTGGTTGATCCCTCGCACGTGACAGGTCACTCTCCCGAAACTATCCTAAAAATAGCATAGTATCGTACTCACGCGTGCGCAGTACTACATTGTACCAATGAGTCCACATTTCATGGAGTCGGATATTCACGCTACACCGGTACTTTAATGTTATGCAGATAAAGCTCAAAGGTTAGGCCTGCCTGACTGAAAAATCACCAGATCCCCGCATTAATAATTAAAAGTTCACCATCGGGATTTCCCCACATTTTTTCAGGGAATGTTGCACAATAACTGAATGGCACTGTTACAAGTACTGAGCTAAAAAGAACATTTTGGTTTCTGCTTCTCCTGGAATACTGTACACAACGCCCTGTTGGACTATCTTGGTACAGTGGCTTCCCTCAAGTAAAACAGGAACTACTATGTGAGGTCTATATATTCCATAATAAAGTTGGTCAGGATATATACGGTATCTTGAAACAAGTAAGCAACTTTTCAGGTGAGTTGAATAAAGTCTTAATCACTCCAATTTCCAATGAACCTACATGTAGGGACTAGAGAATTTAGAGTAAAAATCACTCCAATTTCAGATTGAATACATGTACTTGTTGACCAGACGTTTTCTAGGGAAATATATAAAATAGATCACCCATGGTCCACTATAATTTCAGTCATTGGGAGTGAATTTTCACTCATATCGAGTGGAGTACTCTCAATCAACCCACTGAGTATGACCGAGAGAGACCATGGTTTTACAAAAGAATTCATGCCACGTGGCTAAGGGCAGGCACAAAAAAAGTGATCACTTTGTCCAAGTCAGATATTTTGTTTTGTTCGCTTTTTTTTTCGGGTCGGGTCGGTTCGGGTTGGTTTTACCTTTTTTGTCGGGTCGGATCAGATCGGTTTGAGGGAGTTAAGATTGGTTTCGGTTCGGATTATACCTGTATCTCTAATGTTTTGGGTCGGTTTGGCCTGGTCAACCCGACATTTGATACCTGACTAAAAGCTTGTCTTATTGTGTTGCATACATGTACATGTACCGGTACAATGTACATTGTATAGTTAGAAGTACGTAAAGTGAATTTGGGTAATGTTTCACAGATATGTCATGTTTCACAGACAAATGTCATATTTGGACGTACAATGTACATGTAACATTGACACGGTGTCCATGTTGCGTCCGAAATGACATTTTTGCTCATATATTTTGCAAAATACACATGAAATACATTGAAATTATTTAAAACTTTCTGCAGTGAAACACCCAATAACAAATATTATGTAGAGCGACTGATGTATGTACATGTACATGTAGCAAGGCATTCATGCTTTTCTTCATATGGTCATACCGGTATGTCACACATTGTTCCCCAACCCAGGGGAATGACCCACATACATGTACAAGTACATTTGTGTAAATTCATGTCGTGCTGGTATTGAAAGTTCAAAACTTTTGCTTCACAGGATAACTATGGAATCTCCCGCTGACTTCTATCGTCATGTACTGACAGAGGTCTTAGATGATCTTATGGATCAGGTTGGTGGTTTAACGAAGATTGAAAAGGTCAAAAAAGCGTTGCGAAAGATCTCCCAGATGTACAAAGGGGGACTTTCAAACGCTTCTAGCCAGTGTCGTTCCGACTGGAGTGACCCAGCAAACCGCTGCGCCTACGTCTTCCTGTACTTGATGCAGCACTGTCATCTCGTGTTCTCCTCACTTCAGTACACATCAAAGATCTTGAACAGTTGGCAAAACAAGAGTAACTTGAAGATTTGCAGCATCGGAGGCGGGCCTGGGTCAGACCTGGTTGGCTTGACAACCTTCCTCCGTAAGAAAGGAATCTTCCCGCCCTTGTTGGAATGCCTGGTCTTGGATCTATATCCCAACTGGAAAGACACCTGGGACATGATATACAAGCGTATTCCCGAGCGTTTTGGAGTACAATACAAAAGATGCGATATTGTCAGAGATACCGCTCTTACGTCCATTTCTACTCGTCGATTCATCCGAGATGCCGACATGCTAACCATGGTGAAGTTCTTCTCCACAGTATCTGCTTTCTTCCGAGATGAACCAGGGTGTGGCGACCTCCTTCGATCATTTCTTCATGAATTAAAGCCGGGCTGCTTTGTGCTGTTCATTGACAATCAACACAATAGTGACACACAGTTCGAGCAAGACTTTGCATCTCCAATTGGACTGGGTAAGGTGTTTGAATTCCGAGGCAAATCCACCTTACCTTTTGGACAGTATTCCAGCACCGTGAAAAGGTACTGTCGCGATCTAAATTACAAACCAATGAGTAGCTGCGAAGTCCTGATCCAGCTTTACAAAAAGTTGGCGGTTCAGCCAGCTAGTAGATCATGCGTCATCTCCCAGGACCGAAACAACCGAATCCCACTTCAACATTCTGGTTCATCGGTTGACCGGATTCAGCCTGGTGCACACCACCGGAACAACGTTGATGATCGTTTGAGCAGCTCATCTCAGCCTCGCTACAGTTCACTGCCAGCAGCTTCTTCCCGATCACTGGTCTTACATGATTTTGCCAACCGACGGCATGTGCCGACGTCACCGGTCGATGGTGACAGTGACAGCAGCTATGACAATAGTGATGACGACAACAGCTATGAGTATGACTCCGATGACAGGGACTATGATTATGATGACTATGATAGCAATGACTGCTATGATGGCTATGGCGATTATGACTGCGATGACGACTATGACAGCGACGACAACAGGAATGACTGCTATGATGGCCATGACGACTATGACAATGACGACTATGACAGCTACCGGTATGATTGCTATGAGGAATATGACTACATGTACGACAAGTACTATGGGTTTGATGACAAAAAAGACCGCTATGATGGTTGCCATGAGTATGACTGCGATGACAGCTACAATGACTATGACGACTATGACAGGAACAAACGGCTATGACATCAATGACTGCGACAACATCTGTTATGGCTACAACGACTATGAGCTATGATGACTATTACAATGTATGACTATGACTGCAACCTATATGCATAGTATAGCAACAACAGCTACAATGGCCACTATGCACATCTACAACTGCTACGATGGTTACTTGAACACATGTTGAAGGGGAAATTGTAAATTTTATATGGCCCTTTAGGAGCTACCGGTACATTTTATTTTATTTCAGCTACATCCAAAAGCGCGAGTGCCAATAACAGGATGGATAGAGAGAAGACAATGAGAAGAAATTACAGTTTTAGAGGTGGGAGGAAAAACCCAGAGGAATATTCTGAGGAAAACCCACGGAATCAGGTACCGGTAGGGACTGAAAACCCAATCCACTTATCTGCCCGGGCGGGATTCGAACCCGGGTCACAGTGGTGGAAGGCGAGGAAATACCACTACGCCAACCTGACCCCCCTGACATGTGCATTGTAGAGAGTAAATCTGCAATCTTGACTATCGGTAAGAATCATGGATCAGGTATGCAACTGGGAAGTCACAAAAACAGAGGAAATTCAAATCTTTCCAAGACTTACATGTAGTACAGTGTTTTTCTGTTTTCAATGGCACACATTGGAAGTGAAAAAAGAGGAAATCAGCAGATCCGAGGAAAAGTTGCATGCCTGATGGATGTAGTACTCTGATTTGAAATAAAATCAATTACATGTAATGGAAACTACAAATGTACATTGTATGTTCATCATGTTCATTGAATTCCTTAATGAATGTTGATACATGAAAGTACCATTTCCGGTAAGTTACCGGTACGGTACATACCTGGTACATACGTGTACATTGTATCCTGTGAGCACCTGCAGCGGAACATGGAATAATGTACCAGTAGTGCGTCTGTGTCAGGTGTATACGATACGTCATGTACTAATTTCGTTGTTTTTCACGAGTGCGAGTGGGATTTGGAAATGTAGGCCTACCGGTATACTCAAGCAAACTTGACGCTCCGTGCCTATTAAAAGTGTGTAGAGCAGGAATTGCGTGGGCATCTCAGAATAGCGCGATATGCGGAGTACGGTTTGGATCGTGCTTACCATGGGATAATGTAGCATGGTGTGTTGCTATGGATTAACCAATCAGCATTGAGGATTCTAATTTAAACATTGTAGCATGTAAAGTTTGAAACCGGTACTATACATATGTGTACATTTGATTTAACTGCATCATACCGTAGACTAATCATTGTGGTCTTTTGGTACATGTATTTAAATATGTTAAAATATTAGTAACTTTCGTCGATTGTACATGTACATCTTAAAATGTGCATCAACTTCTGAATGACACCAATGTACATTACATTATTTACACACTTTAGTAGGCAATGCATTTGGATTTGAACACTTGCATAATATACATTCTACCAGTACATTGGAAGTTTTCGTGGAGCGGGTCACATACCGGTATTTCGAATTCACCACTTTGACCTTCCAGCAGCCCTGGAAGGAAAGGTCGGACGACTTTTCTTTCAAAATAAAAATGCTTGTCAAGGTATGGTGCACCAGATCACAAATTATGAACGTGATCGTTTATTTTGTTCATGAGTTTTACATTGTGTAGGCCTAAATGACAGAAAATGGTCATACCCAGTATTCAAACAAAATCACTTTTTGACCACTCGACAAAGAATTATCGTAACGATTCAAACAGCGGTCGACTTGTGCCGGATCACTCAACAAAGAAGATTTATCAGAACAGCTCTAAACAGTGTGCACAACCAACTGAGTTGATACAAAAACATTAACATGCATTGTTATTGTTAACAAAGCGACCATCTCTTCATCGTCATCTTTCTCCAAGTTTTTCCTAGCCTTGGTCAATGCTCTCGTCGTTATTCGTCCCGTACGCGGTCAATCGTCGGCATATATCCTCACGCGCTATGCACATGCATGTAAAAATACAGCGCGAACAGCGACCTCATGCGGCCACTATTTTTTATGCAAATCAGTTGGGGACGATCGAGAGCCTTGGTTCAATCGTCGGCAAAAGCTTATGTTTTTCTTTATTTTGCGCTGGATTTCTAGCGCACGACCTCGTATGCGAATACAGATAAGTGTAGGCGGGGCTAATATGTGGAGTGTCCAATCACACCTTAGTAAATCCGGACGTCATCAAATTATTTGCAGCTATTCGCCTTTTGCGGACATGACAGGAACCACAGTTTTTGTGCATTGGTGCCGTGTGCAGAGACACACAACGTGTACGTGTATGGATTATGTACGGTGCCACGTTTCACTATGCAAGTTTCCACGCAACGATCGACCAATAAGAAAACGACATTTAAGGTCAGCTAAGGCTATTAACATAATGAGCACCACCCCCAAAACCTCACATGGACGATTGAACCAAGGCTCTCGATCGTCCCCAACTGATTTGCATATAAAAATAGTGGCCGTGTGAGGTCGCTGTTCGCGCTGTATTTTTACATGCATACATAGCGCGTGAGGATTAATGCCGACGATTGACCGCGTACGGGACGAATAACGACGAGAGCATTGACCAAGGCTAAGTTTTTCCTGGTTTGCGGGCTACAATGTAATGTTAAATGTACATCTATATGTCCAATGTACAGGATAAATCCTTTGATATTTTCATGAAACCTTAGATTCATTAAGTGGCCAAAAAAAAATCTATTTTAGTATTTAAAGTAAATTACATGTATGTTGAAAGGATGATGCCAAAATTATTATGCAAATTTGTACATAACATTGATTGCCATGAAGAAAAAATCATACGGTAATTCATACAAACTTACATACATGTATTCATGTGTTTTTCCCAGTGGTGAAAGACATTTCATGAGCAATACAATTACTGTATGCCTGAGATGCATTAATTTAAAAAAAAATCACAGCAAAATTTTACTATACATGTAAATGTAGTACATGTGTTTCAGTGCTCGTGTACAACATACGTTGACCTATTGTAATCTTCAGTCTGCTTATAAAATTCAGTGTTCATTTGTGTGATGATCAGCGGGTAAAACTGTTTGGACACATACCGAATTACATGTACCATCATTATGCCATAATATGTAACATAGAACGTGTTGTAATAATTGTATGCATATGGGTCATTCCACCGGGTTGGGAAGCAGTGCATGTTACATCCATATATTTGGTTAAAAGTATCAATGCATTCTAAACAATTGCTCAACATAATATTTGTCTTAAGGTGTTTCAATACTTGAGAAAGTTTGAAATCATTTGAAAGTACTTCATGTTGTACTTTGACAAAAATATGAGCAAAAATGTATTAATTCGGATGTAACATTGACACCGTGTCAATGTTACATCCAAATGTTATTTTTTTGCCATTTTTTACACATATGTAAATATTACCGAAACTGACATTGCATATTTACAACTGGACACCTAAGCACCGAGAAAAGCTTTTGTTTTGGTATAGTCAGAGTTCAAATATAGCAGAAACAATACCTCTAGTGTGGATGTAACAGTGTAAAATCACTCAATGGAAGTGTGACATTGGGTTTTACACCGTGTCAATGTTACGTCCACACAACCAAGCTATCATTTCTGCTCCATTTGATACCTGACTACCGTAACAAAAGCTTTTTTTATTGCGTTGCATGTATAGTAAGAAGTAAGCAAAGTGAATTTGGGTGATGTTTAGCAGAAATTTAAAAAAAAGGTACAAATGTCACATTTGGACGTACCGGTAACACTGACACGGTGTCAATGTTACATCCAAAATGACATTTTTTGCTCATATTTTTGGCAAAATACATTGAAATCATTTCAAACTTTCTGCAGTCGTGAAACACCCAACAACAAATATTATGTAGCGCAACTGCTAGCAAAGCATTTATGCTTTTGTTAATATGGTCTTATGTCACACATTGTTCCCCAACCCGGTGGAATGACCGATATCGGTGATGTTAGTACAGTTTTTGTGGATGATTTTGCAGGCACTTCAATTCCATGTATGGCCTGAATGCATGGAATGATGCAGTTACTGGCACCACAGTACCCTTGCACTTTCCCATCGATCAATCCAACCATTTTAGATTAATGAGTTATGCCAGAGAGCCTGTAGTGTCCTACCAGTAGCGTATGTACAAAGTAAACTGATAGTCTCATCAATTCGAGATTACTTATCTTTGTTGCTAAAAAAACAAGTCAGCAATGACCAAATTGGAGCAGGTACCGGTACAATTTTTAAAGTAAGATTTAATAGAATTTAATTATTTTAGATCATAATACAGTAAATGGATTCAGTTGTTGTTTTAAAGGTAGAGGACATCATAGAATGCAGCTATCCAAAAAGTAAATGAGAAAATCATTGTTGAAAAGCTTACTTGGTGTAAAGATAGTAGTGTCACTTAACTCCCTGTGAAATTATTCTTTCTGGCATGCTGTCATTTTGAAGAAAACCATAAAAAAGGTCATTTCCAAAGATCCGTCTTTTTTTGGAAAGACGCATTTTTGGAAATTTCCGTTTTACCATTTACTAGTACATGTAATTCATTTTCAATTCTGCGACTGGTGCGCACAAGCGTTAACATGAAGCACATTTGCGTGCGGTTGTTACAATTCTTTGGTTCAGTGCTTGATATCGCGTACATGTACATGTAGCTGCAATCGGCTGAATGAGAACGTGTCCCAGACGCTGATTTCCGGCTCAATTCAAAAAATGACTCGGCAACTTTTGAATTAAATTGAGATCCTAGAAAATTGTTTTCTCGAGATTTAGGGCCTACATGTACAGCATTTACTGAGCTAAAACTTCATCAGGACAGTCGTTAAGCACCCTTCTTTACATTTTGAGCACGTTTGTTGCTTAATTTCAAACGAAAAAAATGCACAAATGACAAATGATGTACTAAATGTATGTATACAGTACTTGTAGTACCGTAGGTGTTTTGTTCATCTCTGCATTATACATGTATGTGCAAATCACAAAAAGTGAATGCAGGCCCGCAT